TCCTACTCTCAGGACTTGATTCGAACAGGGATAACAGATTCGGACCAAATAAAGACGTCAAATCGCTACTCGTAATTGGATTGCTAAAGGAAGCACTGGTTGAAATGCTCGACATAGGCATCGCATGTGACACACTTGATGTGGTCATTGCAGATGATGGAATGTTGCGGTCACGGCATTCCAGTAGTGCACCGCACTGTGACCGCATGTTACTGTACAGATTCTCCAATTCGCCAGGTAGCAACCGCGAGGGTCGGAGCAGTCTTGAGAGCTCTTCCTCCTCACTGTCCGTCTGTTGAGGCCATACTTGGCGAGAGTCCATACTTGGTAGATGGCAGGCACCTGCTGAATGTACTCCTGGTAATGATGCTGATCAAGATTTGCCAGTGGCTGATATCAGGGTAGTGGAGCATCAGAACAGCAGTGCCAAGTTCAACTGTTCCCAATAATCCTGCATGCTATCCGAAGGCTCCAACCTGAATATATACATTCTCAATAAAAGCGGTACTCTACGCACGCAAGATATCGCACGTTTGCACAGTTCCAGTGCTAAACAGTTCCGGCGCTTAACTCCATTGAATGGCTGAAAAGTGCCATAAACGTTTTGCACAGTTTCATTCGGCACACATAAAACACTACACCGAAGTTAACAGTGATGTCATCACCAATGTGACGAATTACAGGCCTTCCAGTTGACAGCCGGCAGTCACAAGTACATGCTAGAACATCACTTTACATCACACAGTCAAAGGCATGTTGCACGTGACACGGTGGCACAAACGGTGTCTGCAATTATGTCACCCCAAGTGAAATTAGTACCTGTAGTATGATTTTTACTCCGGCCTATTCTCTGTTAACGTAAGTCATTCACCCCTGGTGTACTCTAATGATTGAAATCAAACTCTCAGATACACTGGACTTGAAAATACACACATCCCCCTCCCATTCTCCTCCAAAATATACCAAACCCCAAAACGAGCACTTCCATGCTGAAGTACACACAACGACAAGTTCAAACTCACAGGCACTTGAATATCAGCACAGTACATGTACTTGTCTCCTGGCACCCAAGCGCAAAGGTGAAGCTCAGAACACAATAATGAGCTTTCCCAACCCAGCTTCAGAACCAATGCTTGGCTTGTTGTTATGACAACATCATGTCAGCACTACTCCAAACCGACGCGTATAGCCGATTAGTTTGTAGGCTTGCCTGCGAATCATGAGGTTCCGAGTTCACACCTGCACTGGTAACAGGGAGTGTGTTTGGTGGTCTCTCAATCGCGGTGATGCGGGCGAGTATCACTTTACGGTGATGCGGGCGAGTACCACTTTACATGCAATGAACTGTGCCGACACCCACGGTGAGCTGGGTACTCACTTGCTCGGTGTGAGGGTAACAAGGACGCGGTTTATGGGGTTATAGGGCCTTTACACGCCCGCTTGGTGAGAGACTTATCCCCTCTCCCCTGACTCACTTGTGAGGTCTGCATTCGACACTGAGGATATACGGGCGAAGCGGTGGCCCGCCGATGCGAATGTATTTGCTAGATGTGTTCCTCAACACGTCATGTGATACGGCCGTGAATCCGGCTAACTTCACTTCTTTTTTTTACTCCGATAATAGAACAGGACTTGAACACTAAAATGAATATGCCTATTGTTTGCAGAACACTCTAGGAAGCCTCTATACATACAAGCAAGAGTCCATAACCCCCCAGAGTGTGCAACTCCAGGTTGGGGTTTGGCGCAACGAAATCCAAACATTGCGTCATCCGGTCCCCAGGCAAGCATGGGCGGATGGGGCCATGTGCATATCTGGCATCATAGCTACTCACTACATGACGTATGAAGTTTGGATTTCGTTGCGGCACTGATTTGTGCTGAGAAGGATCACGAGTTGCACACTCTGGGGGGTTATGGACTCTTGATACAAGTAGTATGTTCTGGCTTTGTTGGGACAGCATCACATTGCCGAGGACTTAGTCAAGAAATCTCCTACAGACACTGCTTACACCACAAATGGCTGTTCTCACAACCGAAGACCCTGGGACATTTGCGTGAGTTGCCCCGATGATCATGCGAGTCAAGTGTTGAAAAATCTGTATCATGTCTGTCATGGTTTTCTCAAGGAATTGACCGTCTTGTGGTTGACGTCACTCTTTAGTGCTATTTGTGGTGAACAGTTTCACCTCTGCGCCCTGGGTTCACTCTTGCATCTAAAGGGCTACATGCTTCTACACGAACTCACACTCATCACTGCGACATTGCCATAAATAGTAAAATACATTCAAGGTTCTATCTTTGCATCTCTCTCTCTCTCTCTCTCTCTCTCTCTCTCTCTCTCTCTCTCTCTCTCTCTCTCTCTCTCAGCAAAAGTCAAAAAGCCTCGAAAAAGGATGGCACATGCGCCTCACAAGCGGAGCTGGGGAAAGCAAATGACGTCGCGTAGAGCCGACGTGAAAAAGGGAAGTAGTACAAGTATAAGTAAGTAATCGAGATTCAAATCACGCGTACGCGTACGCGACACTATTGACTGTCACACAATATTAATTTATTCCATTGATATCTGGCAACATGCAGGCTAGCCTCTTGCTAGTGCTCCTATTGATACACTTACCGACACGCTATCCAGTAGCTCTCCATCGCGCCATACTCTTCTGCACACAGTATAATTCTGTGTCTTCTTTAAACGAGAGAGCTTGGAAGCTCAGGGCCCTACGCTATGCAGTTTTGCCTAGCTCACCATGCATGTTATTAGAACTGATGGAAATGTTTTTTTTCCATTGATTGGCTACTAGCATAGTGTTTTACGTCGACCATGACGGCTACAATGCTCAACCATACCACAACGAACTGATCGGCTACATCATTGTATTGCAAAAGGTTTCCATCTGTTCGAATAACATGCATGACGAGCTAGGCGAAAAAGCATAGCGTAGGGCCCTGAGCGAAAGAAATAAACTTTCTCTTTGCATTCGAGGGTAATACGACACCGTCTACCACCTTGATGACCTACGCAAAAAAAGCATAGGGATGTTATCAATTTTTCTTTCATTTCTCCTATTTTTTTTTCAAGACATAACCTAGGATTTGAACCCGCACTATCGCCCTGCATGCATTCACCCGATACACTTCGCATACATACTCATTCTTCCAAGTTGCTTCACGTTATGATCTTGCATTTGAAAGCCCTATTTGAATATTGTGGCCAGCTGTCTTTGATGGTATGGTACGGGACAGGTATGGGATAGCGCCAGGCATGCCGACGGCACAAACACACATACACGGAATTAAAGCTGTGTGGACCCTGGCTAGCGCCAGACGTTACTGAAGTAACGTCTTTTGCATAGCTACGGGAATAAAAGGGGGTTTGTCAGCTGACAACCGCTCTATTTAGTTGCAATTCACTCTTGGCGCATGCGCTGGATGAAAATTCTTTTACTAGTGATGTCGAAAAATCTGTGTGAAATCTGTGTGAAATCTGTGTGAAATCTGTGTCTTCTTTACAATAGAAATCAGCCCAGTGACAGAGGAGTTGGAGGTCGCAACATCAAGTACGCACCGGTTGCTGTGTAGACCTGGATCTACAAACACTGAGCTGTGACAGGGTGCAGGGGCGCAGACCTGACTCATGCGACTGGATTTCACTGAGAAACACTGTAGTACTGACTGTTATCCACTTCCCACTCACCACACTACACCCCCCCCCCCCCCCCCCCCGGAATAGGAACCAATGGAACCTGCCCCCCCCCCCCCCGTAATAGGAACCAATGGTAGGGATCTCAGCGCGTGCACTGCGCATGCAGTTCGCGCATGCAGCCAAACGCGCATCAGAAGTGGCATGCAGAATTTTTGCCAAACACTGGCTATTTTTTGCCAGAAAATTGAGACCTTGAACGAAGGAGAAATGGCTGAAATTTCCTTGCAAGGAGATGGTGGTTACAGGCTACCTGCTTACCAGAATGGGATCTTGTTTGGTATGTTGGCCGCCCATGTGTTCTAGAATCGATTTGTAGCTTTCGTTGGAAGGCGCGAAGCCGTTTTCGTTCCAAACGACAGGGTTCTTTCAGAGCGGAAAATGGCGACCATGCCGATCGTTGCCACGATCTCCGAGTTGAAAATCTCTGGATTTAACCGGGGAAAAGCTCTGGATTCAATGGTAAACCCGGCAGAAATACTTGATGTTGGATGTTGAGAGTTTGCAGGAAATTTGACCGAAGCGTTCATGCTCCACGTGACGGTGTTCGTTCTTGTGAATTTCTGCATTTCTCACATATCGCCGTGCATATGGGCCGTTGTTCCAGAGACATCGATTGTCAGGTGTGGACAGGGTTTTGTTCGAGTGGTCGTGTGGAGACGTGGTTTGGTTCTCACAGGCAACAGGAGCGGCTCCTCGGGATGGCGAAAGCCAAATCTACCCAAAGCCGACTTCGCGATCGCCGATCTTCTGGCGGCGCATTTTCACTTATGCTCTGCAACAAGCGGCACAAGCTGTGGAAATCGTCAGATGATATTAGCCTATCAGTGTGCCCAGAACTTCTAGTGACTCTACTGAAGCATTAGCTTGAGTAATCTTTCTTTCTAGCCCTCTCTTTCTCTCTTTATCCCTCTCTTTCTCTCTTTATCCCTCTCTTTCTCTCTAAAAATGTTCCAAACTTCAAAATCTAGGTCGAGCTGCATCGGGGAGTCGTCAAATACCGACTCACTGAGCCGGTTTTTGGCGATCGCCATTTTCTTTCAGTCTGCCATCGCCGCGTTGAAAAATCGATTACATCATTGAATGCGCAAAGGCCTGCGCAGTGTCCGCGCTGACATCCCTACCAATGGAACCTCCTCCCCCCCCCCCCCCCCGGAATAGGAACCAATGGAACCTGCCCCCCCCCCCCCCCCGGAATAGGAACCAATGGAACCTGCCCCCCCCCCCCGAATAGGAACCAATGGAACCTGCCCCCCCCCCCCCCGAATAGGAACCAATGGAACCTTCCCCCGGGTGTACGTACCGGCCATTCGCAACCTCTCCAGCCTTGATCTTGCCCAGGAAATAGTCACACAACTCAGCCAGCTGCTCCACGGGAAAGGCATCCACCTACATGAACAGAATTTGCACATGGGACAACACACACACACACACACACACACACACACACACACACACACACACACACACACACACACACACACACACACACACACACACCGTGTACCATGTATACGCCCGTCGCAAGAGAAGCACGCGAATATTGAGTCAACAATATAAAGATTTAAAAGCGGGATTCACAGAAGCTTTTTGCGATGCGATACGACGCGATCTGCGATGGCGGTGTGCGATGCGAACTCGCGACATACCATTCACAGAAGAAGTCAGCGATGCAACATCGCCTTGCTGATTTGGCGCGAAGTACAATGCTGGTGAGTACATCACCATGGTATTCGCGTAGCTTGCTACAACCTTAACAAATCTACAAACAACTCTTGAACCTTTGTCCAACTTTGCTGCAGAAAAGATCAAAATCGCACTCCGAATCGCTTGTCGCATCGCGAAAGTCGAGCCAAGCTCAACTTTTGCGATGGCCCAGTTGCGGCAGTTGCGTGAGCTGCGAGATGGGTGCGATATGGGGATTTTCCGCAGCCGTCGCATCGCACATGGCAAAAAGCTTCTGTGAATCCCGCATAATAGTCCACTGATCACGCAATAGTTATACACAAAACTACTTTGAAGTAGCAACTGGTCTGGTGCTCAATGACCTGACTGACGGTCACCTGCACCACATCTTGGACTCGCAGGCCAAACGCCTTCCGACTTGGAATGCCCGTAGGTCCGGGCGATACCGGTAACCAAGGCGGCAGGATGGCGAGCACAGTCAGTCGTACATCTCGATACCGGCAATCCGCTCAACTTCCCGGCTCCTATGCTACCGCCTATAACTATGGATCTCAAGTTGAAAGAGTCTTGGTCTGCGCATCCCAGATGCACTACAGCCGACGGTCAGGTCGTAGAAAAGTCAGTACCAAACGTCATTTCCGTACAAACCAGTGGACAACACATGTAAGAATTTGCCTCTCCTATCCTCACAATTTTTCTGAAGTTTACTACATATTGCATGTACGTAGAAGCAAACAACTGAAGTAGATTTGAACGGCTCAGTACTGTAACAGTGTACTCTAATTTCAGAAATGTTCGGTGCTCAATATTTTCGGTATGAGGGCAACAGGCTAGGTTAGGTGAACAGAAATTTTCGGTACAGAGAATCAGTTCCCTATTGAATTATGTGTGTTAGTGTTTGTTCGGCGTATTGAAATTTTAGGTGTGAAACAGACGCACCGAAAGTACCGAACATTTGTGAAATTACAGTACATTGTACACGGAGAGCTGAGATGCAAAACACGATAAAAAGCCAAATTTGAGAAAATCAGATTTTCAGCTCATCGTAATCAAAAGGTCTACTAGGGGCACCACCAGGCAAAAATTTCACCTTCAAAATCTTACTAGAACATTTCGAAACTGAAACCCAGATAATATGGATTTAGATACAAACCGCACAGAAAGTGAATCCTTTTTTTGGCCATTCTCCGAAAAGTGATGAAATGGATTTATCGTTTTGCATTCCAGCATGTACAAACCAGGGAGTCGTAAAATACCGGTATTATACTACTCCCGGTATTATACGACTCCCGGGTACAAACAGTACAATGCTCCACTGTCCGTACCTCCATCATCAAGACTCCAACGACATCGCCACAAGTCTATAGCCACACAGGAAACACACAGCACAGTGAAGAAGGAAAGGACAAGGCTTGATGCATTATCAACATGTCACAAGGACACGCACACACACCATACACACACACACACACATGCGCGCACCGCAGTCCATGTGCATGCGTACAGAAAGACACAAACAACTGATCACATTTGTTTTCTGAAAGAGGCAGTCATGTCCTCACAACGTCTCTCTCCCTTTCCCCCTTCTCTCTCTCTCTCTCTCTCTCTCTCTCTCTCTCTCTCTCTCTCTCTCTTTCTCTCTCTCTCTCTCCTACCACACACACACACATGCACACACACGCGCACACATACACATACACATACACATACACACACACACACACACACGCGCGCACATACACACACACACCTTGTCCCCTTGCGTTTCGTCATTGACACAGTCCAACACGTCGTGGAAAACCGCCTTGCGACGCTCCAAGCCTCTAGACTTCTCAACGGGAGAGCCTGCATGTCATAGGTTTCAGAAACATGCAAAGAAACCAGCATTACATCACCTTCACACACCAGAACCACATTCCACAACTTGCTCAGGGAACACTTGTACAGTAAAACCTGTAACTAAAGACCACCTTGACTAGCGACCAGCCTGGTACTACAGTAAAACCTGTAACTAAAGACCACCGTGACTAGCGACCAGCCTGGTACTACAGTAAAACCTGTAACTAAAGACCACCGTGACTAGCGACCAGCCTGGTACTACAGACCACTTTGCCCGGCACGGACGGTCTCACATTCATACTATGGTTGTGCGGTGCAAACCTCTAACTAAGGACCACCTGCCACTAAAGACCGCTTTCTCTGGCCCCCAAGGGGTGGTCGTTAGTCACGGTGGTTTCACTGTATATATATCAGAGGAGTGTGTGGTTGAAGTAGGGGCGGTGGGAAAGTGTACTAGTAACCGAGCTACAGTAACACCTGATAAGGCGACCACCTGTCCTGGAAGACCACCTGTCCTGGAAGACCACCTGTCCTGGAAGACCACCTGTCCTGGAAGACCACTAAAACCAGCACCAAGGAATGCTATTTCCAGTCAAATGACCCTAGACAAGGAGACCACCTGGTAACAGAGACCAGGTTTTGAAGGTCCCTTGAGCAGCGGTCGTCTTTAATAGAGAGGTTTCACTGTACTTCTTATCCTAACATACTTCAGTTGAGATCAATACAACCATGCTCCAGACAATGTGCGTACTAAACAAGAGTACGCCTTATCAAAGCATGGACTAAAATGAGTTCCACTGTCCATACGAACGATCATCAGTTGCGAGATCCGAAGGTTGCATCCCGTGTGGGTGTGTGGTGCAGTGCCCGCCATTGACCAGAGTTGAACCTGGCAACGATACGAACACTTCCCCATTGTTTATCTTAAAAACACCAGTAACTCACCCAAAAAAAGTCGGTGCGGCTTATACCAAGATGGTCAAATTAACGGTGATAAATGGAGTTGATGTCTGTATTTCGTGACATCAAAAATCTGGGTGCGGCTTATACTCCAGTATGACTTATACTCCGGAAAATACGGTAATCATTTGGCTCATACAATATACATTATAGCACCGTAAAGTCCGCTGCAAATTCTCATGTCTCAGCAAACACCCACCCCAGCAGGTCCATACTATTTTCGTCTTTTTCAGGTCATAAAGTTGTACAAAACCGTCATGAAGGTTGAATGCGTACGAGAACGACTGTAATGCCTGCATACTGCCCATGTCGTACCTGGAGGCTCTGAAAAAGCGATTTTCATTATCTTGCATCAGAGAAAAATTCCTGTCGATATTGCGTTTCATTTTTTAAATGAGTCGTCTTTGTATCAGTTCATTCTCCATGGGGAAATGCCTTAGAATCCATCTGGTTTTCAAATCATGGAATTTCTGCAGTGCCACGATGTCGCAACGATGATTCACCGAAGATAGGATTGTTCAACGAACCCTCACTCAACGACTTGACCGGTTGCGGTATTGCAGTTGCAAGGAGAACAGGGAGGATGTCACAGAAGCTACGGCTACAAAGTCGCTGCTAACTGTTACTTTTGAAAACTCTGAAGTGCTCGAGAAAAAACCTTGTCTTTGTGCGTTGCGTGATTTCGGAAATGATGGCTTCAAACACTGTCACAAGTGTTTTCGGTTCCTGCAATGCTATGTTCTGTATTTGTATTTACTATTTATGGATTCTCCACAGGCCTTAGCCTAAACCGAGGGAGTCTCCGTATGTTCTTTGCTACCTTGTTATTCGGAAGAAACTCCCGTTTCGGATTTGCGAAATAAAACAAACATCATCTTCACTACAAGCTAGTGCGTAGCTAGTGCCCGAAGAGATTTTTGAAACCAGAAAGTGGACATAGTTTAACGTAGCAAAGCGCTCTTCGCGCTACGGTGTGAGATGCACTTTCGCACGGTGGCGGTGACAGTGCATGGGGTCCGTGCGCACAGGCCAGCAGATCTTCTGTCCCCGGGGAAAATTGCGGAAAAAATCGCAAAAAACGCGGCATAATATGGCATAATTTGCGGTGAATTTGCGGTAAATATGCGGTGAATATTATTCATATCATCTCGCGGCGGCAAGTTTGCAGTTGATATGAGGCAATTTTCAGTGAGTATGTAGCGAAATCAATCAGTTACAAGTCTCTGGTGTAAGCGCTCGTCATATTTGAGTACAAAGCCGCCACCGGATGAGACGTTGCTGACCGAACAGTGCACTGTGTGTACGTGTAGTGCAACAGAAAAGTTCAAAAAACGCGGGGAAAATAGCGGATAACGCGGTCTTTTAAAAAATCGCAAAAAACGCGGAAAAAAACGCGGCCGCGGAATCGCAATTTTCCCCGGGGACAGGATCTTGCAAAAAAGGGGGGTGGGCGTTTGCAGCGGACTTTACGGTGCAGTGCTGCTCAGGCGCGTGCCCCGTATGGGTTCCTGGGTGCCCGGAACCACCCCTTTTTTCGCTCAAAATGCAGGATTATGCTTCATTTTTTGAAAATTTTCCCGGGGGAGGCTCCCTTGAAGGGCACTGGCGCACGCGCCTGCTGCTCAATCATGAAATCCGATTGCGTGTTACTTTGCGCCCAGCACCAGTGAACATACCAATGTACACAGGTCCAGGACTGTACAACCAGCATGCCGTCTGCAGTAAAACCTGTCGGGGCGACCACTCGGACAAGGCGACCACCTGTCCAAGAAGACCATTACAACCAGGACCAAGGGATGCTATTTCCAGTCAAATGACCCTGGATGAGGAGACCACCTGGTAACAGAGACCACGTTTTCAAGGTCCCTTGAGCGGTCGTCTTAGACAGGCCTCACTGTTCATGTACTGGACTCCCTGGGTTGAATTTCAGTGAGCAGTTAGATTTCAGTGAGCAGCACTGTTACAGGCATGTCTGTAGTGCACTACCACGTACAGTCGTACAGTACGGATCAAAAATACTAATAGTAATACCAGGGGCGTAGGAGGGGTTTTGGAAGTGGCAGATCTACGAGTACGAGTCTAGGAAAAGGTCAAAGTCTGATGCGCATATGCATCGACGGATCCTGATTTTTTTTATGGTTTTGCACGTTCCGGACGGACCACACTTTTCGAAAAGTGGTACGGCCATGGTCATACCAGTCGTAGCGGGTGCTACGCCCCTGAATACAATTGTAGAGGTGTACATGTATGCGACTTCAACTGACTTGCCTTGACAAGGTTCGAAACTAACACAACATATTCGCTGCCTTGTCATTGGGCATTTGTGCTCGTTTGGATTTGCGAATTCAAATAAAATGTACAAACAAACAAACAAAGCTACCGGTATGCTTTGTACTATGCCATGTACATGTACTTGCAACCATCCACTCAGTAGTACCTACCAAAACAAAGCGCCTTTGTCAATTGGACTGGATCAGTTGATGATGTTCGTATGGCATCAACCACGAATGCTTTCAGCTACAGACACGGCATAGGTGCAGTTAAAGGAAAGGGCATGCTCATGACAGTTAATTCCAATGAAAATGTTTGAGGCAGCTGCATACTAGTAGTTATCATGGTTATGTACCTGTTCAGAATTTAATTTATCCAAAGTTGCTTCCAGGACGTCTTTGCTGTTGTCCCCATACAGGGAGATGATGCGTCGCTCCATTGTGTCCAAATCTTCCCTTCTTTCTTCGCCTTCTTTCACTGCCTACAATGGCTACATCGTTCACACACGCCAACTATAATGAAGCCTGATGATTCTTCATCATGTACTTCGTGAGCTTTTCGTGTTTCATTTGAATGAGAGGAACATGTGTCCATCATCAGCTAGCATGTCTCTGACTTGTTCTCAAATTTTCCCGCGGAAAGTGATCGAAAAAGATTTGACGACAAAATAATCACGCTTCGAAAATAATAATTATTATTATTTCTTTCAACGTCACGTGTCGTTGCATTACCGGTACATGTACAAACCGGCCATGCATTATGTCGACCACGACGACGAGATCGGCCGAGCTCGCGACCAGCTACGTACAAAGGACGGGCGCGAGAGTCCGTCACTTCAGGTCTTTACGACTGCGTTTTGTCTATCAGCTATCGCCGTATCGGCTGCGAAGCCGATCTCTCTCAGCAGCCTTTGGGCTGCCACTGCACTGCTGCATGCTGTCTTCATGGTCTTTGCGACGCGACAGTCAGAGATTGGCATTAAATTTTGTTAGCGTTGACTGAAAACAGTGAAATGTGATCGCGATACGAGGGTTGTTTGTCAAAGCGAGATCAAAGCTAGTATTAGACAAATTAGTACGAGCAATCTTATTTTCCCAACCGCATGAAGTAGATCTACTACTACTGTACCAGTAAAGTCTTTTGATTTCGTGCACGAGTCCCACACGACCAGCAAAGACTTAGTAGTAGAATCTACTAGTACTACAGCTTGCTCTCGGACAAGAAAAGATCCCAAGACTGCAAGAGGATATTTGGAACATTTCTTACTCGCAACGCCGGGCCGTCAGTTGAATTTAGTGTAGAATATTTCTGACGCGAATCACGAAGCAACGGGTGGTCACTGGTCTGGGCAGATCGCTCTGCTGTTCACGACTGAGCTCTACTCTAGTGGTGGGGGATTTATGGAGCACTGGGTGTGAACGGCTGGCTCGACCGATGTAGCGCTGAGCGACGTAACTGTCGTTGACTGGAGGTGTTTTTCAGCGGGGCAATCGCTCGCCCGATGGACACGGTGGACAGCTGTGTTACCGATTGTCCGATCTGTTTCCTCTGCTACGATGTTGCTCGGCCGCCCCTGGCCACGCCGTGCGGGCACAGCTTCTGTCGAGAGTGCGCCACCAGGCTGGCTGGAGCGGCTCCGCATCGCAACGCCTTCACGTGTCCGCTATGCAGAGAGCTGTGCCAGCCCGGAGCTCAGGGTCTGCGCGTCAACGCGGCGCTGCGCGCGCTAGTGGAGGAGCTGGCGGCGGCGCACCAACGGCGCGAGCGTCGACGCAACTCCGACGCGGCGGCAGTGCAGCTGAATGCACGGAATGGTGTTGACGTTACGTCCCCCGCAGGAGTGGCCGGTGGCGGTGGTGCGGGAGCAACCACGCCGACACGCGCGTCGCCAAGCCGACGAGAGTTCCAGTACCGGTGCCCGCGCATAACGTACGAGGAGCTGGAACTGGAGGTGCTGATCGACAGCGGCGCGTTCGGCGAGGTCCACCGCTGCCGCTGGCAGGGGCAGACGGTGGCGACGAAAGTGCTGCGCTGCGGCGGGGAGATGTCGCCGGCGGCCGTGGACAGCTTCCAGCGCGAGGTGGAGGTGATGAGCATCCTGCACCACCCGAACATCGTGCTGATGCTGGGCGCGTGCGTCGAGCCGCCGCGCCTCTGCCTCGTGCTGGAGCTGATGACCGGCGGCAGCCTGTATGGCCTGCTGCACTGCGCGTGCGCGCGCCTGGAGGCGGTGGAGGTGCGCAGTGTGTCGCTGGACATGGCGCACGGCCTGCAATACCTGCACAGCCTCAACATACTGCACCGGGACTTGAAAAGCAAGGTGAGCGCAGCTCAGCAGTGCGGCACCGTCAAATTCAAAAATCCCCCCCCCCCCCCTCGCACACACACCACCACCACCATCAGCATATGCTAGCACATAGTCATGGTCATGGGAAACTTGCGGCGTGTTTGTTCTCAACTCGTTTTGTGGCACTGACTGTCCCCCTGTGCTGGGAGACGGATTTCTTTGGCAGATCATGTCACGTGACTGCCGCGGGAAAGAGAGTATGCTGGTCGTCGCAAGTTCTACTGACATCTTAGTAAAAAAATTTGAACAACTCTAGCACTCCACACTGCGCTCTTGGCCCACATTCACCACACCATAGTGAGGAAGTTCGTTCTGGGACAGATGCTGCGTATCCTCCAGACAGCTGTTCCAGCTCACTGAGAGCTCCTCAGTGGAGGTGCATGTACATGTAAATAAAGAATGAATGTAGCCCTCATTTAGTGAAACAGCTGTCTGGAGGATATGCAACATCTGTCCCAGAACGAACCGTTCCTTGCTATGGTGTGGTGAATGTGGGCCAAGAGCACAGTGTGGAGTTCTTGGTAGTCTTTTTAGGCTTCCTCAACTCACACACGTCTCTTTGCTGCACACGTCACTTGAAAGGTTCACCAAAGCAAAGCCGAGACCGTGTTTGGGCCAGTGTTTGTAGAGTTGATGAAATCCAATGTGTAAATGGTTGCAATGGAGTCTGCAGGTACTTAAAGTAGCCTTTATGAGTGTATATAATTATTTAAATAACCGACGAGGAGACAACAGTCGTAAAATAGCAATGAAAAATATCAAGTGTGCACTCATAACCATGTATAAACAATTAAAATGAAACAATTCCAGAACGTTTTCGTGTGACCATCATCAGTGGAATATCGTCACATAGTAAGAATCACTAAAACAACCAGTTATATAGCTAGAGTAATATGAAAAGAAGCGTGAGAATGCAGCACAGCTAGCGGCTATGCATAACGCGTGTAGTGTGAACCTTTGCTTTGCAGTGTATCTGAGAATGGTAGCAGTAGATGAATGTGGCAGCTGTGAGTGCGTGTGAACAAAAACTGGTGAGTGTGTATTATTTAAAAAGTGTGAGTGCTACAACATTTTCTTTTTGCTTGCATAGAACAGGGTCACGTGTGCGAATATATACAGCTTCCAACACCTGCAACTGCTTAAAGAAACGCGCGCGACAAATAACACTAAACCAGGAATCGTCAAACAACTTACGACAATCCGGACTGGACACCAAATGCTTGTAGATGGCAGACTTGCTCTTGTCGATGTCGAACTCCTCCTCGTCCGTATCACTCTCATCCTCCACTTCCTGTTCCTGCTCACCCTTGCTTTCCCCCTGACCATCCTGTTTATCCCCATCATCATCCTCCATCTCCATCTCCTCATGCCATCGCTTCTTTCTCCTTGACGTGTTCACTGCTGCGCCCGTACTTTCACCTGCCACTGTGAACACGTCAAGGAGAAAGAAGCGATGGCATGAGGAGATGGAGATGGAGGATGATGATGGGGATAAACAGGATGGTCAGGGGGAAAGCAAGGGTGAGCAGGAACAGGAAGTGGAGGATGAGAGTGATACGGACGAGGAGGAGTTCGACATCGACAAGAGCAAGTCTGCCATCTACAAGCATTTGGTGTCCAGTCCGGATTGTCGTAAGTTGTTTGACGATTCCTGGTTTAGTGTTATTTGTCGCGCGCGTTTCTTTAAGCAGTTGCAGGTGTTGGAAGCTGTATATATTCGCACACGTGACCCTGTTCTATGCAAGCAAAAAGAAAATGTTGTAGCACTCACACTTTTTAAATAATACGCACTCACCAGTTTTTGTTCACACGCACTCACAGCTGCCACATTCATCTACTGCTACCATTCTCAGATACACTGCAAAGGTTCACACTACACGCGTTATGCATAACCGCTAGCTGTGCTGCATTCTCACGCTTCTTTTCATATTACTCTAGCTATATAACTGGTTGTTTTAGTGATTCTTACTATGTGACGATATTCCACTGATGATGGTCACACGAAAACGTTCTGGAATTGTTTCATTTTAATTGTTTATACATGGTTATGAGTGCACAATTGATATTTTTCATTGCTAAGTATATAATTACGAGAGAGCTTGGAAGCTCAGGGCCCTGCGCTATGCTTTGTTGCCTAGCTCATCGTGCATGTTGTTAGAACTGGTGGAAATGCTTTTTCCTTTGATTAGCTTCATCATTGTATTGCCAAAACGTTTCAATGAGATACTGAAGTAACGTCTTCTGCATAGCTTCGGGACCGGCGCTGACTCTGCCGATCACGGGCGTTCTGCAGTCGATGACGTTTCCTGGGACCGGCGCTTACTCTGCCGATCACGGGCGTTTATCTTCTTATTATTATTATACTGGCGGCAACCAACATCCATTCTGATTGCATTTACTCGTCTCCCTACTTCGTATTTCTTTCCAGAAAATCTCCCCATACAGCAGGGAGTCGTTACATAATATGACTCCCTGCTCTACATCTACATGACTGTATAATTATACGTTATAGTTATTATGCTATCCGCCTACATGCGATTCCCGGGCAGGTCGACAGGCGGCCCAGCCAGCCTGCTAATGGGATCTCGGCCTCGCACACAAATCCACACAAAATGTTACTGCACTGAATGCATTCCCCCGATACACTTCGCATATATACTAATGTCTTATTCTCTTGATAGTACCGTACTCTTGATGGTACGGGACAGGTACGGGATAGCGCCAGGTATGTCGATGGCACAAACACACAAAAATATTGTGGCCAGCTGTCTTTGCTGGTACGGTACAGTACGGGACAGATACGGGACAGCGCCAGGCGTGACACAAACAAACAAACAAACAAACAAACAAACAAACAAACAAACAAACACCAAATTAAAGCTGTGTGGACCCTGGCTAGCGCCAGACGTTACTGAAGTAACGTCTTCTGCATAGCTACGGGAATAATAATTATATTTATACTGTCCAGTCTCGTAGCTGTACTGTTGGTGCCTAGATGGCCGAAACTGCTAGCTGTCTGCAGCATTGGGTAGTGTCCAGTCATACACATTACAATAGTAGTTGATTTATACTTTACGAGCATTCACAGAACTTTTTTAAAAGCCCCCGGTGGTTATGCAATTCCATGCAGCATGTAGGCTAGTATATGATGCTGACTACTAACCATGCATTTTGTCTATTCCCTTTCAGAACGTACTGCTGACGCGCTCCCTGCCACGCCAGGCTAAGCTCTGTGACTTTGGGCTGAGTCGGGTGCGTATCGAGAGTGCCACCATGACCGGCAACATCGGTACTCCGCAGTGGACTGCGCCGGAAGTGCTGAACGACTCGAAGTACCGCCTGTCCGCCGATATATACAGGTATGGTGGGTTCGAGCTTGTCATTTACTCAATGAACACGACTGCCCTGCAGTGGAATGCATGCGTTACATTCACGACTGTACGACTCAAAGTATCTACATATATATACATACAGGTACGGTGAGGTTTGAGCTACAGTACTGCCGGTTGCCGAAGAACGGAGGGGGGGGGGTCAGCCTCGTAGCCCAGATCGTTCTTATTTTCATGTACTACGGTCTATGCAGAGTCGAGTCACCGTAAACTCGTTTCACAACTCGCCAGATCTCTCTACGATACATGTTTTTAGACCAGCAGTTCTGTCACTCACACAAATTTGTAAGCTATTGAGGAAATTTTCTATGCTAAATGTTTGCCATCACATTCCCGTCACGAACGTGTGACAGAGCAAACGAGAGTATCCTATAATTGCACAATGAAACGATAGTGTTTTCGACTGGATACTACAATATTGTGAGTACGCGGGTAGCAGTATTAGCAGGTGTTCATTGCAACGCTAATGTGGATGTTTGCTCTGCTCTTCGTGTTGTCAGCTTTGGCATAGTCCTACTGGAGATTGTCACCAACAAGCTGCCGTTTGCCGGCAAGAACCCAATGGCGATTATCATGGCAGTTGGTGTCAAGAAGCAACGGCCGCCGATTCCAGACTCAGCGCCGGCACTGCTGAAAGACCTCATTGAGCGGTAAGGCCATAACGGTATGCCTGCATTGATGTAGAGTGTGCTCATTTTCCTAATGATAATGTCATTGGAACAGAATGATGGTGTGATGGTGTCAATGGGACTGCGCAACTCCAGACCTGCAGACACTGCACAATGCACTGGTGTAGTTCTTCTTTAATATCCATGCGGCTGGATTTCATTGAGCACGGCTGTACATGTGTGAGGATGATGTGATTATGGCTCGGAGCATGGGCGTGCATGTCACCGGGCCTTCAACCAGCCACACCAATCTAGTCTTTCTCCTTGCTTTCCTGCACACAGCTGCACGCGCTGGGAGCCCGCCGAGCGGCCCAGCATGCTGGAGGTGGTGCGCATACTGGAGACGTACACGGCGCCGGAACCGGACAAGGCGTCCGTGCTTTATCAGACCCTGGCGTACTGTGACCAGCAGAGCCAGCCGGCGGAGCGTAACTGGTCGGTTGAGAGCGCCATTCGAAGCAAGCCCACTGGCAGTGAACCTATTGATCTCAATGGCTCGCTGCAGTTCAAGGGGACAGACGACAACCAGGACCCAGTTGCCACGGCTGATGGTGCTGCAGAACAAGCCAAACCATCTGATAGAGCAGGTGGGTGTCTGAGGGATGCGGCACGTCCTGTTCGAAATCACCCCTTTGACGAGTACAATAATTACAACTCCCAGATGTCCTCGATTGATGGCCATGTTGGCTTTCAAGGCATGGCAATAGTAGGGTTTCAACTTTCAACACTTGATTGTTTTTACAGTGTATGTTGGACACGCAAACACAGGTACAGGTCTACTCTCCATATAACGTAATCTCTGGGACCACGCAAAACTTATGTTATATCGAGAGTTATGTTATGTAGAGAACCGTGTGTAAAATACAAGATGTACCTCAAAATGAAGGGTATTACAAGGCGGGTTTAACTGTGCAAACATATACACACTGTACAGTGGTCCCTCTATAATCCGGCACCATTTGTGCCACGAAAATCTGCTGGATTAGGGAGGGTGCTGGATTAACAAATCTGATTTACTGCTGCAATGTGCATGAAGAGGACATTTTGGCTACTGAAAATTGTGCTGGTTTATCGAGGGTGCTGGATTATAAAGTGCCGGATTAGAGAGGGACGACTGTACCACCATCGACATCAGATACCGTCAATGCCGGAGAATATATGCACAATAGGACTAAACTGGCTAGCTACGGCTACAGCTTGATCGTACCGCGCACGGGAATCTGCATTGTATCGAGAGTGTGCACGTCGGGGACCGCGCCACAGGCTGCGGTATGCCGAGGTTCATGTTATGTAGGACTAAACTGCCTAGCTACAGCTAGCGCTTGATCGTACCGTGCACGTGAATTTATGTTGTATCGAGAGTGCGCACGTCGGGGACCGCGCCGTAGCGTGTGTTATGTCGAGGTTTATGTTATGTAGAACAAAATTTGTATGGGAGTGATGCTGTTTCGGCGCGGGATTTGATTTTTTTACTTACTAGCGAGGTTTATGTACAAGTGAGAGTTGTTATATCGAGAGCAGACCTGTACATAACCTTCAGCTGCGTTCGGTCACAGCTCCTTCACGCAATTTTGAGACTGGGACATGACCACCTTAGATTCAACATATCCACATTTTGTTGTTTGATGTTGTTTGTCTTGGAACGTTTCTTTGCCGCGTGTCCCGGATTTAGGCGTGCGTCCAACCACCACTACCGCGCACGCAGGCAAGGCCATGCACGAGTCAACGGGCTCGCCACGATCCGTCATGGCCGCCACCTCCTTCTTCTCCCCGCTGGCCAGCACGGAGGAGGAGCTGCGGCCTCTTCACCTGGACTCCATCTCGCCGCTGCTTCGTGACAGCCCCATCATCAATATTGTTGGTTCAAAGCAGCTGCGTCAGAGGAGCATGGAGGGCAGTGGCAGTAGTGACGGTGCCTACACGGGATCCGATAGCACCATACAGGGATGTAAGTTGTCGCTATACATCATGTGCTACTGTGCTGGCTTCATTGGCACTTTACACATAGTCATGATTGCAGTGAATAATAATATGTGATATTAAAGCCAATGTAGATTTAACTCTAAATGTCATCCACCTTACTGTCCCAATCTTCTTGCTGCCACTGCTATCATCATCATCGAGTCGTCCCAGGAAATCTGGGGATCAATTATTGAAGCCACAAACATGTGCACTATGCCCCCCCCCCCCACACACACCCATTCCCTCTCTCTCTCTCTCTCTCTCTCTCTCTCTCTCTCTCTCTCTCTCTCTCTCTCTCTCTCTCTCTCTCTCTCTCTCTCTCTCTCTCTCTCTCTCTCTCTCTCTCTCTCTCTCTCTCTCTATCTATCTATCTCTCTATCTATCTATCTATCTATCCATCTATCATCTATCTACCCAATGCTGTAGACAGCAAGCTGTTTCGGCCATAAAGGCCTCATCAGTACAGCTACGAGCTAAACAGGCCAAGCTACCAGCCATGGTGCAAAGGAGGCATCTATAGATGTCTATCTTTATCTCTCTTCTATCTGTCTATCTATCTATCTATCTACCTATCCACCTAGCCATAATCTTTCTCTGTAACCATATCTATCTAGCTATCTATCCGTCTATCCATCTCTCTATAAGTTAGTATATTGCTTCCTCTTTCTCCCCCCCCCCCTCCCCCCCCCCCCCCACACACCTTGTCATCGACATTGCTTTTTTTCTTTTGTACATCCTTCGGGATTTTGTATCCACTCCAGCGCCGCAAGTTTCGTCGGGAGAGGCGCATGCAGAAGCCATGGGCGCGGGTGCCATAGCTGGAGCGGGTGCTGTAGCTGGTGCGGGTGCTGTAGCTGGTGCGGGTGCTATAGCTGGCGCTGCAGCTATGGCGACAAGCACAGCCGGAATGCCACTAAGTGACAACCAGTCACCCGAGGAACGGACACAGATCGAGAGCGACTTTGAATTGGCGCTGCGCCTGCAGCGGGAAGAAGATGAAGCCATGGGTCGCCCATCGACGACAGAGGTATGATCAGATTGTCTACACATGCTATCATTCTTGTTAGCTACTGGCAATGCTTCAGGTTGTACCACCAGTGCAGTTTGGGTAAGGCTGAAATACCCCCCCCCCCCCTTCCGGTCCCAGTGGGGTCATGATAACATTTAGTGTTTGAAGGGCCAACTAGATTCAATATCGTTGGTAACTGCTAGGGCTATTATATCGGTTATCCGTCTAATCGATCATTACAACAAAACGATTTAGATTATGCTGTCTGTTTCGATTAAAAATTAAAAAACTTAAAAAAAACTGTGCATGACTGTACTGTAGGATGTGATAACGTTACGTACGTAAGTAACATTGTACTATTTTGTAGATCCAGAGTGCACATGTGCACTACTGTACTGGCTGTCTGCACAGTACCCGCACGTGATGTGCCACTGCACTCAAAATATTTGTGCTCAGCATCTTAATTCAAAACCTCGATGGTGCATGTGTGCATGCGTGCCGCGGCGTATCTGTGTATGTATGTATGATCTGGCATTGCAGTACGACTCCATGCTGGCGCAGGAGCTGTTGCAGCGTGAGCGGCAGGAGGCCTCGCTGGATGCCATCCCACCGCACCTACTGAGCTCACTGGACGATACCAGCGCCGAACTAGACCCAGCCTTGGTACGGGAACAGTACCTGGCCTACGAGAGGATCTCCGCACTGTCTCCTAACCCGCCCTATGACCAGCCCGCTGCTGTTGGGCTTCCGCCGCCTCGTCCGCCGCCCTTGCCGCAGAGACCGAGGCGTGGTCGCGGCCGCCTGGAGTCGTTCGGTGACGAGGCAGCGCGCCACATGGCCATGCAGTATGCACTGGAGGACGTGGAGACGTTCCCGTCCAACCAGCTGAGGGCCACGCGGACGGCGGAGCACTTGTGGCAGCCCACCGCAGCAGGTGAGGTCATTGGTCGCATGGCGTGTTGGCCAATCCACGCTGCTTGGCAGGACTCCGAACACTGTATCTAGGACCCGTTGAGATTGAGTCCCCGTGTGCCTTTCCACCTTTCCACACACTCTTTAGCCGGTATGAGACTTGATAACAGTCAGTGTAAAACCGTCTGCATCTTAACCCAGTATTGTTCAAAGTGTTTCCAGGCTATAGGCTACACATGATCGCGCATCAGTCCCCAGTAAGAGAATAACGCAGGTATGAGACCGACCATATGATAATAAGGTACTAAAAGTCAACCCACGCAACCCATGCAAATACTGGTCCATGCGAATGTGTTTTGACTTTTGAACCTTGCATTGAACCATGATAACCTTCTGCTGTGCTGGTATTCCGTTTCAGACCTGACTCATGATCGGCACTACGGACTGACACCCACGAATGACGGTCCAGCGGCACGGTTTTCACCGATGTCGTCCGTAGTTGGGAGTCCGTCCCGCGGCGTTAACGCTACTGCTGCTACTGGTGCTGCTCATACGCCGACTACACCGACCACACCCGTGTATCCGCCGCCCAACACGAGTCCAGGGATTACGCGGTCGAGTAGCCGGCCAGTCGTTCCCGTACTGCCACCGCCGTCCTCGGCTGGTGCAGGGTTGCCGCCACGCCCGCCACCACTGCCTCCCCCGCTACCGGCCCTGCGTCCTGTGGACACACGTCCCATAACCGAGCGCATCCATCGGGCGAACGTATCCCATCTTGCCAGGGCCCGCAAGTCCAACCCGCGCCGAGCGTTCAGCGCTGTCGTTGGCGAGATACCGAAGTTTGAGCCGTGTAGGCTACAGCGCTCGCACACCGTGCAGTATAGTGGACTACCGACACGCAGTGGTACGTCGTTCAGCGTGTACTGCAGGCCATCCAGCATGCAGCATGCAGTATAATTATTATACCTGTATATCCATGGAGCCCTGACACTGAGTTAGCAGAGAATTAGAATGCGTAACCCTGGCCAATGCCGGGGTATGTAGCTCTCGTCCCTGGGCATGTGACCCTCTCCCCATGGGCATGAATATGTAAACCTCACCAGTACACGTGTAGCCCTCGCCACTGGGTGTGTTACCTTCTCCCCTGGGTCTCTAGCCCTCGCCCTTAGGTGTGTAGCCCTCACTGCTGGATATCTAAACCTCGCCAATGGGTGTGTAGCCCTCGCCCCTGGGGTTAGTAGACCTCGCCACTGGGTGTGTAGCCCTCGCCACTGGGTGCGTAGCCCTCACCACTGGGTATGTAGCCCTCGCCAATGGATGTGTAGCCCTCGCCCCTGGGTTTGTAGACCTCGCCACTGGGTGTGTAGCTCTCGCCCCTGGGTGTGTAGCCCTCACCAATGGGTGCGTAGCCCTCACCGCTGGGTATGTAGCCCTCGCCACTGGGTGTGTAGCCCTCGCTCCTTGGTGTGTACCCCTCGCCACTGGGTGTGTAACCCTCGCTCCCGGGTGTGTACCCCTCGCCACTGGGTGTGTAGCCCTCGCCACTGGGCTCGTACATTCAGTGCTGGTCAAGTCTGATCAACAACAGTCCAGGTGCATCATGATTGTAATAACTGATAACAGTCCTGGATCATTCTGGTCGCTGCCACAGTGAGTACGGATAGTAGACAATAGAAATCAAGGCTACTTCAATAATGACCACGCTACGGGAATGGCCACCGTTTAGGCGCTGCATCTGCGCCTTTGATCCTAGAGGGTGGTGGCGTTCCCACGGCGGATGCGGAAAACTCGGCTTCCAGCCGAGTCTCACGCGAACCGTGAAATTTTTATTTTTTATTTTCTCAGCTTGCTGTATTTACGGTGGTAGCCACAGCAGACCAGTGTGTGCCATCTAGATACGAGTTGTATGTTTGTTCTGGTCTGCTGCTGCTGTTGCTGCTACTGTTGCTGCTGCTGCTGTTACTGCGGCTGCTGCTGTTACTGCTGCTGCTGCTGCTGCTGCTGCTGTTACTGCTGCTGCTGTTACTGCTGCTGCTGCTGTTACTGCTGCTTCTGCTGCTGCTGCTGTTACTGCTGCGGCTTCGGCTGCTGATGTGACTGGTGTGCAGAGTACGTACTTGAGAAGCAGCAAATGGATGTCATTGCTCGCCAGAGAGAGGTGGTCGAGGGCATGCACAAGGAGAAGGTTGAGGATGCCGCCAAGGGTGCCGGAACAGGCAAGGAGTCAGCGCAACAACAGCCACAGCAGCAGCAGCTAGACAGCCCGGCACTGGACCTGATGAACCCAAGGCACACCATTCAGCATCTGCGTCATATCAAGAATTTCCAGGACAACCTGCGCAAGGTGCGGGAGTTCAAGTCAGAATGGCTGCACCATGTGCCGCCCGAGAAAGAAAGATGTAAGCTGAACGATTGTAACATTTAAATGTCTTGAAGAAATGCTTGCACTGTGATTTAGATCTGTACGTAAGGCCTCATGATTTCTTTCTGTAAATTTCGATGTAAAGCTTAACCAACCTGAACTCTGTGTGTGTGTGTGTGTGTGTGTGTGTGTGTGTGTGTGTGTGTGTGTGTGTGTGTGTGTGTGTGTGTGTGTGTGTGCGTGCGCATGTGTGTAATCCATGCACGTGTGTGCATGTGTGTGTGTGTGTGTGTGTATGTGTGTGTGTGTCAGCTAGTTCGGTTGGTGGGTGCACTTATGCCAGATAGTGTTGGGCCTGTTGCCAACGGGCTCGGCTGCTTGAAGGTGTATTGTTGTACCTACCACCTTTGTTGGTTTCAGGGTTCATATACTTTCTGTTTGAAGTATACATACCTGTTAACCATGGACTGCTTCTGGCTAGATTAACTCTTGTGTAATCAATGGTGCTAGTGAAGCTTATATCAGATCCACTCTGATTTAGCCACCGACACTAGTACCAAGTATTACCTTCACTGGGGGCAGGGGTACCTGCAGTTGGATCCCGGGACGGATACCCTGATGCCGTCAATCCTTTTCTGCACCTTGTCCTCACCCACTTACTGAGGTGTGGTGAGCCCATAAGTGGGATCATTTCAAGTCCACCCTAGTTTGGGGATTTCAGGGGGTGTCGGTCGTTGGGTGGTTCAATGGCCAATTGAGTCATCTTTCCAAGATTCCTTTTGAGTCTCTCTCCCCTCTCCCGGGGAGACCCACGTGACCAGTTTTGGCAGTGAGCAAGTACAAGTACAAGTGTGTGTGTGTGTGCATGCGCATGCGTATTTGTGCGTGTTCGTTTTCTGCACAGCTGTCCTGAGCTCTGGCATCACGATAAGCACGATTGCCCTGACAATGTTTGCCGACATGAAGATTCGCAACAGCAAGAAGTATATCGGACTGCACGTTTCCAACCAGGATGGCTGCCGTAAGATCAACGTTGCCTTCCACCAGAATGGAGTTGGGGTCACGACGGCGCAACAGGACGAGCGCTGGTTTGCCACCATGGTCGGAAAGCTACCGCACGATCAGCCGCGCTTTGTTCTCTTCGACCTGCTGTACAGCCGAACACGAGACCAACGCTCGAACGATGTGCACATCGCGTGCAAGCTGATTTTAGTGTTCTGGTGTCCGGACAGCGCATCCGTTGGCCAGAAAATGATCTACGCTTCGTCCAAGGGTGCGTTACGACAGCAGCTGGGCGGAGGTGTGACCAAGGAGTATCGAGCGCAGTGCCATGCCGACTTGGAGTATGCCAAGGTGTCAGCTTGCATCAGATAGTCCCGAGTGTCTCAGACAGTCTGCCCGCGCTATTGGCGCATTCACCGCCAGCTAGCTGCCCATGATGCAGTATTCATGGGTCTGTTCTGACACTGGCCCCGAGCACACTCCGTAGAATCACTACTTGCTTGAGCATGCATTCAATGATCCTGTAGCACGCACATTAGACACCCACAGACTTGAACACACTCTCTCTCTCTCTCTCTCTCTCTCTCTCTCTCTGTGTGCACATCCGCACGACCACGCCTCTTATATTGATGCCTGCGATCACAGACAATGCTAGTCGCCTAGACTTGCATCGCAGGCTAACTATTTGTTTTGCAAATTGACCCCCGGTTGAGGATTTCTACACTTGATTCGTACCCTGAATTATTTTTCTTGTCTGATGAACGCTTGACTGGCTATTTCTAAATAGATATTCCAGTAGCACTTGTATGTGACAGTAGTTATAAGTTATTAGCTACGCCTGGCTCAGTAGTATTTTTTGTAGAAATGTTCACATGCCAGCAGGCCATGCAGGTTTAGGTGTATGAGGAATCTACCCGGGATTTAAACTAGCTTAACGTTATGCAGTAGAAGTCTTCGTATTAGTGCCACAAAACATGCCAAATATGAATTATGAAAATGTGAAATTGCTTTGTAAGTTTCTAATCCCTTCCCACTTTGTGTACGTGCTCTTCATTTTCTTTTTTCTCTTCTTCCGTGGTTGGTCTCACCCTCTCCTCAATTCAATTGGCTGTCTTGACATGCCTGGCCACGAGGTGCAGAAATATATAAATAAATAAAATAAAGTGGCGTAGAGCCGGTATCTGAGCCAGGGAGTAGTTAATTTTATTTTTATTTTTTTATTCTCATTTTACTGTAGTTGGACTACTCCCTGTAATTGTACTACTCCCTGATCTGAACCAGCAGGTTACCATGGTTACATAGCCCATTACTAGTATACTGCTCACTGCGACGAAACTAGCCTGCGAGTTCGGAACAGAGCATGCAGGCTGCATGTGACAGCAATGCAGCTGAACGTGCGAAAGAGCTAGCTGGCTACACTTGCACCTGACGCAACACTGGAAGGCCCTGCATGCAGCATACTAGAGCCCCTTTGGAATTGCAACACCACACACGCGTGCGCACGCGCATGGTGCACTGTATCTGGTTACCATGGTAACTGCACAACATTCTCAAATCTACGTAACCCGTAACAGCGTCTAGTATATTAGTAGTACAATGTCATGTACATGATTGTATACTAACATGTTGTTGGTTTGACAGCATGAAACAAGGTGGAGGACACCGGTCCGTGTTTGGAAACAGTGACCTTACTACAACCATCCACGGTTGGTAGACGGCCCCGGTCCGTTTCTCTAATACCATGATTGTACCAAGAGACGGTATACTCTTGATTGTACTACTACAGTATACATGTAAGTATGGAACCGGGCGGTGGTCCACAGATGCATGAAAACCAGGGATAGGAGTAGTAAAAATGCTATTCCCTGACACTGAGTCAAGTATATGTATTGAATAAATATACTTGAGAACGGGGGTAAAATGCTGAGTACAATCAGACCTCGCTTAGCCGCACACATCCATTTTCCACAAAACAATATCCGGATATGCGAGGGAACCGGGTAACCAAACACAGGTCATGTTGGATGCATTACGTATGCTGTAAATCTGTAACCAGCATTTTCTTCCGGATGGCGAGGGATCCGGATAAAGGAGGACTGGATAAGCGAGGTCTGACTGTACTACTAAAACGTGTTGACAGGCAAAATACTGCATTGTACTCACTGCTTAAAATCTACTTTCAAGCACTCCTCTATCCACAACACATAACAGTGTGAGACCGCAACCTGTCTGCTACCGAAGCCAATATGAGTATACAATACTGCCGGGCGCCGAAGAACAGCCAGGCTAGAATTTTACCAATTATAACTTCTAGGGACAGTGTAGGCCGGATTTTTTCCAGGTAAGAACGGAAACCGTAATGTACACTCAGACGACGTATTAAACTCTGCATAAATGTACATGTAAGACGGTACCGTCGGATAAGAACGAAACTGCTGTGTTCGCTAAAAATAAGAACGGGCTAGGCTAGAACCCTGACCCGCCAGACAGTACTGTATGCAATGGATTGTCGCAACAGAGAGCCACCATTATTTCTAATAGAGTTGGTTATAGGTTATCAGTGTGGTTATTCAGTCATGATTTATCGTAATGCGTATTCTGATTCAGGCAAAAGGAAAAGAAGTATGACAGTGGTAACATTGGATAAAAGCTGAGAGAGGCAGGAATTCTATTATAGTTGAAGCTGCGCAGCTAGATCAGAACGATCAGCAAGGAACCTATGGTTGAGCTACTTGTACTGAATAAAACTGGTAAGAAAATAGTACAGCGGAAAGGCTCAGTGCTGGAAAGTACAACATATCCTATCACACTGCTGCTCGGGATGGCCTGCCTGGGGCTGAGGCACCGAGGCAGCACTGTTTATAAGTTAGTGCATGGCAGGGAGGGCCGTATGTCTTGTTAGTGCCCGACGGGTTAGCCTGAGGGCCGTAGGCGGGGATGTCGCTGATTGGCCGTTTCCTGGACAACGAGACAGACCTCGTTCTATAGTGTGTTCAGAGTACATGTAGTGTACTACTACCGGTACTGCTACCGGCTGTGCACTCTGCTCAGTGCGCCGAGTACCACACTAACTTGCACTGTATATTGGAAACAGTGGAATGGAGGCAAGTCAAGGCCGAATTGGTGAGGGTGCGTTGAACGATTAAATCAGTTAAAAAAACATCTGAACGGAGTTTTGACCAAACGAAAGCACACTAGCCACAAGAACTAACACAAAAAACATTGCCGACATGCTCAGGTGCCTGTCGCAAACAAGAAGAGGTAACACTCAGATACATAACCTTGGAGACGAGAATGCTTGCCGGATGTATGCTAGGAGAAGTTCCCCGTTGGGCGCACAGAGTACGCTCCAACGTTCCCGGCATGCTCTGCAGCTGGAGGTTACGGATCACGGCAGTAGGCTGCCACCATGCATCCGGGGCAGTTCCTCAAAGCATCAGTAGTAGATGTTTGTGTCACGGATGCAACATCCCAGTTAGTTTGGTTAGTCTACATAATCGTGCACTGCTGCTCCCGGGTGGACATGAGGAATAGAATGTCATTGGGCTCATCGTCATCATCGTCCATCACTTGCTTGTGCTGTGATGATGGTGCGGAAGAGGATGGTGGCGTGGGCACTAGAACATCCGCGCTGCTCAGGCCTTGGTGTGCGACACGCTCGGCGAACTGTGCATGCAGGAACAAACAGCGAAAACACTCAGTTCAGTGGCACCACGGCTAGCTTTACGCCGCACACATCACAATTGTGTCACAGCCTGGGGACACGTGGACACTAGACACCTTTCTACCAAAACTGTGTCACTGCCGGTGTGCTGCTTCATTGAAAGCATTAAAAGAATTATAATTTGTCGTGGTCCATGTAGCATATAACGCAGAATAGGGCAACACAACAAAATAGAGTTATAAACAGACTCGGAGGTTCCAGTCTGTCCAATAGAGTGCTCAGTGCCGAAAGGCAGAGCTAAGTCCAACCTGAATAAGAGGATGAAAACGTGTTTAAACTCCGAGTTTTAAAGCAATCATTAGAAAACACGTTATATCTTATATCTCGAAAGCGCTCCAGTTGCGTACCTTGACGTGGCCTTTAGGTGATGATGGCGCTGGAGCACTGCTTTTACTACGAGGACGTGGAGGAGTATTGCCGGGTGAAACAGTTTGAGCTAGCAACTGATTCTGCTCCTTCTCAGACATGCTTGGCAGAAGGGGCAAACGATCAGGCACCTCGTGCGACGCAAGATCATCACTGCTGCTCAGAGATCCGCCTGGGCTCTTCGGTTTGGGGTGTCTTGCTCCAAGTCTGCCGATGGATACAAGTACGATACGGACAAATACAGTGTTAGCTGGATTTCACTCCCGTGCCTTTGCCAATCATCCTGTGCGGCATTCAGAGCACACTGCCCTATACGGCATTCAGAGCACACTGCCCTATACGGCATTCAGAGCACACTGCCCTGTGCGGCATTCAGAGCACACTGCCCTATACGGCATTCAGAGCACACTGCCCCGGCTATAGGCAACTTGCATCAGGGATCTTCATATACTAGTGCAGAGAAACTTCATGCTGCATAACAAACTTCCAGGGGCTATAAAACTGAACTGTACGTTATAGGCAAGGTATAAGGGTAGATTAGAGTTCAAGTGACTGTTTTATACCTAGTACAGCATTGTGCAGGGTCCACAGTCAACAATAGCACAGTGCTGGCAAGTGAAATCCAACCCCATTGATACAACAGCCATGTGTATACGGAGGTTGCACAACCCAAGCACTGCCGACATTAGGGCCGGCAGTGAACGCCGCTCTCCTGTAATCATGGGGTTGGATTTCTTTACCACAACTGTACTTTATATGCCATAGAGTGTTCTGTCCAGAACGCGTTAAGTTTATACTGAACTGTCTCACTGCACAAAACACTGGTGTCTGGACTCTGAAGACAGACAGTCAGGACATGGGTTTTCACACACACACGCACACACATACACACACACACACACACGCACGCATGCACGCGCGCACATGCACACATGCGCGCGCGCGCGCGCGCACACACACACACACACACACACACACACACACACACACACACACACACACACACACACACACAAAACATACACACACACACGCACACACGCATGCGCACACGCGCACACACATACAAGTGTGCGCCTGTATACACACTATGAGAATACAAATGAGACGGAGCACAAAGGGAAGGTGTAGCTTGCGCCTTAAAGGGGAAGTTAAGGCAAAAATTAAAATTTCACCAGTTGTAGTCTTCGGGGTGCTGAGTCGAATGGTCTTGGTCCGAGAAAGCTGAGACGCTCCCTTCCTACTTGAATCCCAATCGAACTCGCGCACTTTCACCGAAACTGGGTGACTGCGCCCTACTAGATGGGGATTTGTATGCAAAATGTCACTAAAAGCGCCATTTCGTTGTTATAAAAGCACGGATGACCGCGATTGGACCATATGTTGTAGTCTTTAGGACGCTGGGTCGACTGGTTTTGGTCCGAAAAGGCTGCCATGCAGCGTTCCTCCTTTATTCCCAATCGAACATGGTTGAACACGTGGTCACGTGCTCCTGGGTGCCCAAATCACCTGGTCACCACGCCAGCAGGCGAAAACTTTCACACCAAGGTTCAACTCGAGTGACAGGACTGCACCCAAAAAAGGTCAAACAGGCTAGTAAGTTATACCCTGCAGGCACGGTGACCAGGTGACTGGCGTACGCAGGAGCACGTGACCGCTTGTTCAACCATGTTCGATTGGGAATAAAGGAGGAACGCTGCATCGCAGCCTTTTCGGACCAAAACCAGTCGACTCAGCGTCCTAAAGACTACAACATATGGGCCAATCGCGGTCATCCGTGCTTTTATAACAACGAAATGGCGCTTTTAGTGACATTTTGCATACAAATCCCCATCTAGTAGGGCGCAGTCACCCAGTTTCGGTGGAAGTGCGCGAGTTCGATTGGGATTCAAGTAGGAAGGGAGCGTCTCAGCTTCCTCGGACCACGACCATTCGACTCAGCACCCCGAAGACTACAACTGGTGAAATTTTGATTTTTGCCTGAACTTCCCCTTTAACCAACTCATCCGAAGAGACAGCCGCGTGACGAGGTCGACTTCTCACGGACATTCAGACAAAGGATCCTCAAGGAAACATGCGTAGCCCTGTGCAATCATAGGCAGCATTACTGTTAACATATATTCCAAACAGCTGCCTAGATGTCTTACCTCACCGGCTGCAAAGTGTGCAATGTTACTAGCTGCTGCACCAAGCTTTTGAGTTCTTGCAACGACTTCCCCTGCTGCAGCTGGCCCCTTTCCAGCCTGTCAAGCCTGCTGGAGCGGGACGTCGACGCCGCTAAGGCTGGTTGATCATTAGCAGCGGTATCGTCCTCAGTAGTATCAGCAGCACCACCACCGGTGGGTCGACTCCCCATGACAGCCGGGCCGCTAGAGGTGGAGCTCACGCTTGAACTTTCAGCCGTTGGTGCCCTGTCCTGCTTCTTCTCGGGGACGACGTACTCCTTGCTTGCAGCAACAATTTTTTGCTGCAGTGAATTGTCGGCACTGGTGATTCGCACCATTGGCTTCGTCTCCACCATGCTGTCCAGTGGTTCGGTAGCGTGTGCGCCATGCGGAGCGGGGCAGCTAGAATTTGGATTGCTGCTACAAGTGCTCAGGTCGGCTGCATCGGCGTAACGGGGGCTCTGCTCTGATAGGAACGTTGGCATGTGTTGATCGGGCAAGTATGGTGCACCCGCGGCGCTTGCCAATGGCTGTCCTGAGGGTACCGCAGTCTTCGCCGGGTTGAGTGCACCGCCGACTGCAAACTTGCTCATTGCCATGCCACCTATTGAAGCCGTGTGCACCAGATCTACAGCGCGGCGCTCGCTGTACACCTGGTGTCTGTCTCCGCAGTCCAAGTCGGCCTTGTCGGCGAATGCGTGACCGGGATCACCGCGGGCTGCAGTGGCCGGCTGGCCAACCGGCGAGTTCACTTGCCACGTACAAAGCTCAAGGGCTGCACATAGATCCTGTGCAGCTGCTGCATGAGGAGCTTGACCCTCTGACCGTCTTACTGCGATGGCAGCTGCCTGTGGACCAGACGGTGTGGGCGAGAATGATGAATTTGCCACGGCAGGAGGTGGCGGTCTCAACTGACTGCTTCCAACATGAAGCACGTCTCGGGGTGCTGATTTTCCCGCAGCCGTGTTCTGAGGTGGTGTGATGGACGGCAGTGCAAAGCCCCAAGGTAGACCCCGTTTTGGCCCAGGCGCACCGGGATTGTTCAAGAGAACAGCAGCACCATCGCTAACGATAACAGTGCGGTTCGCCTGACCCAACACAGCCGCAGACCTGCTTGTATCACAATCTCTATCGCTCAAGCGTGCAACCGCTGACGGACCTGGGTCTTTTGCAATGCCCAGTACACCAGAAAGGAAAGCAGCGGTAACTGACGTGCAAATACTGGTTGCTTGGTGGGCTGGTAGGTCTGGTCTCGGATATAATGCCGGAATCGGGGGAGGTAGATTGGTCTCCTCTATGCCGGTCACGCCTTTTGCCGCTCTCTCCCCGATGTTATGGCTATTGCTGCTGCTGCTGCTGTCGCTGATGATGATGATACTGCTGCTGCTACTGCCGCTGCTGCTGTTACCGCCGCTGCTGCTGCTGTCATCGCTACTGCAATCGCCACTGAGGGTTGTATTGCTGTTGTCCGGAGGAAAATAAGCGGGAAACAGTGGGCCACTGCTGGCATGTGGAGTTGCAGCACGAGATGTTGACGGTCCGCATAGGGCATCTCTCATTTGGATGCAGGGTGGTACATCTTCATCAACATTACCAGCACGTATCTCGGGTCTTGAATTCACATGCCGAGCCAGATCTTTCACTCCCAGTGACTGAAACTCCTTGCAGATTGTTGAGCACTTGCCACATTGTCCATCAATAAGCCCCTGCATTATCGCTGCAAACTCGTCCTCGGTATTCCGAATGTCGGCACGAATTTCGGCACTGCGAATGTCACGGCTTGCCATTGGCAAGGTGGCATGCGCACACGTGTAGAGATGCTGAAAAAGCAAATGTGCACATACATATACACGTGCATGTCCGCAAGCGCGCGCGTACAAACACACACACACACACACACACACACACACACACACATGCGTGCACGTACACACATCCTATTACTTCAAAGAGACAAGGACCCACACTCAACAGGCACAACTAACACTCACCAAGGAACGCTCCACTTGCAGGTTGCTGCTGATTTAGGATGTGATTTTAATATTCAACATCATATTCACATGGTTCAAACAACCATTCTAAGCCTATGATGTGTCACTGTCAGAATTGGTGTATTCAAGTCAAAAGAACGCCCAATAACCTACTCTATTTTGAGCCGGTATGAATAGTAGAAATTCACAAACACTGGGTAAATGGACCAGATGGTTTTTAAATTTCAAATAGGCCTAAAACACCTGATTCTAATTCGGCCAGATTTGGGTTCGGCAGCGGCAAGTCTGAAAGCTATAGAGCTAGCTGTTTGGCGCTAACCTATCCTGAATGCGCTTTTTTTTTCAACTGTCGAGCCCTGGAACTGAATACCTCCTCAATCCAGCAGAAGTGATTATCAAGTAACAAGGCAGCTACCCATCACCTCTAGGTCCTTTATAAAAGAGAACAACACCGGGGACATGATGTCAACATCTGACCATTGTAGAGCCCTTTACCAAATTGACTTTTTAGGCTAATAGTAATATACCTCAGAGCACTGACAGTGACACCTGGATTCCACCTTACATCTTATTACCGCCATGACGACAAAGTCATGAGTGCATGCTCCTGCCAGCACTAAAAGCAGGCAGCGACCAGTCTCAGAAACACGCACATACAGCCACAGAATCAATCCACACCAGTATCACCAAGAGTGCATCACCAAGCGTGTGCAACTCAACGATCTCTCGGACCACGGCGGAATGTTTTATGACATCAGTCTTTCGAAGCCACTGGGCTCACTGATTCATGCATCCTGAACCGGATGAGCTGGCTCTGTATCTACATTGTCAGCATGGAAGAACACACCCACTTTATCATACTTCCACCAATGCGATCCCGTAGAATGTGTTCGCCGTGGGCAAGCCTAGTCAAAGCTCAAGACACTCTGTACACACATGCTTGTGCACTCTTGGTATCACCTTTCGCCCCACGGGCTGCTTCCAGCTGGCAGCTCCTCGCAGGTGCACACCATCTTTACAACCTACGACCAGGCCCAGCACAGCAGTTGGATGAACTTGTGCTGAGAGCCCAGCGGAGACACAGCCTTTTTTTGGTCAGTGAAGGTTGAAATACACCTATGATGAATCTATGAGAAGAGTCACGTCCAGTGTTAGTATGACGTGCCAACACCTTCTATACGACAAGCGAACGTGTGGACATGTGTAGGAGAGAGAGAGAGAGAGAGAGAGAGAGAGAGAGAGTGTGTGTGTGTGTGTGTATGTGTGTGTGTGTGTGTGTGTGTGTGTGTGTGCGTGTGCGTGCGCACACGTGTGTGCGATGGGTACATGTGTATACGGGTGCATGCCTTTGCCGTGCATGCATATGTGCGTGGGCGGAAAAATGGCCAACACGCTGCCTCTCATGTGATTTGACACTTTGGATTACCTGGCGAGTGCCGAAACATTTCCTCGACATGCCGACTGTCTCCGAGCTGTGTAACGTTTATTGTGTGCATGTGCATATGTGCTTGCATGTGCGCACAAGCATGCGAGTGAAGACAAAATGGTAGCTGTCATGCCGTGTAAAAACGTATAATTATTATTTATTGCAAGTCTACAAACGTTCTGCCCATTCCAATTTCGGCCTCCCAGGGCTAAAACACATTTCGGCTGCATCAAGCCCTTCACGCCCAGTTTGCAAAGCAACACCGAAGACATGCATGCAAGGAAAACAAATCGCCACCCGTGGCCATCCTTCAGTCTGACGCGGACCGCAGCACACATCCGCATGCCGGTCAACCCTCCAGGCCAGGAGTGCACCACACCGTCAACCGAGCATGGAGAGGGGCAGAGGCCAGAGCAAGTAGTGCTTGCAAAAATACAGCTGCGTTAGGCGAAATCCGACCCAAAGTACAATACTGTACTGTACTGGCGCCCTAGGCCAGTTCTGATCATATCACTGTTGTGTATTTGTACATGCCGCCACATACGTCAAGCAGCATTCGTCCCACGTCAAGGTGCATGCAAGTAACTAGTTGAGGGCACCAAATATGCACTTTGGGTCGGATTTCACTGAGCTCAGCTGTAATAATTAGATGTGCTGCATGAGCCTGATGAGGAGGTAGCTGCACCAGAAGGAAATGAAACATAGCTCGGGCTATTACTAGCTGCCCAGCTTGATCGTAGTGGTACGCACTGTAGCATTCTTTCTTTCGTTTTTAGCTACTGTATTTCCGCGCATATAAAGCCATGGCGTTATATCCGAATATAAGGCCACCCTCACTTATAATACCATGGCGGTTTAAGTGAACAAAATTCAATGTGGAGGAAGTTGCATCCGGTGTTAAAGGTGAGTTCAATTCTTTCAGTGAACCTCCAGTAGCGGTGATTCTCTCTACATGTACCCATCCCCACTGTCACATGCCATACCGCCACCGCACCTTCACACAAGTTTGTATGCCACCTTGTACACAATAGGTTCACAATTTGAAATTTTCAGGGAAAATTGAAAGTATATGGATGCTCGACATGAACGTGCAACGGCACCATACAAGTACAAGAAGTTCATACTCTGCCGACTTTTTTGCATGTAAGCGTCTCTCACTGTTAGCGCCATGGTGTTAAAACCGAGGCTATTTTCTCCAAACATTTGGTCCGAAACAGCGATGTTTCACCTATAACGCCATGGCTTTATATGCGCGGAAATACGGTATGTGAGGCTGTTCAGTCACTGCCATTGGTGCTCACGATACAAAGTCATCAGTGTACATGTAGTTGGATAGTCATTGTGCTGATACCATGGATACTAGTACAGTATACTAGTACTAGTACTAGTAGTAGTGCACTACAGGTACTATTTGTTTGTATTGAAGTCGATCTACCACCCGAGGCTGAGCCTGGTGGGTGGCTCTGATTACAGATTTACACAGAAACGCTCCGCCCCGCGACCCTGGCTTACAACAAGATACTTATTGTTAGATTGACAGCATGAAACAAGGTGGAGGACACTGTGTCCAGAAACTTGTTTCATGCTGTCATTGTCAATCTAACAATATGCGTGAACTATAACAAGGTTTATCTAATACTGGTTTTGAACCAGTGTTTATTTTATAACAAGATACATTGTACTTGTAACCAGCCAGTTCCAGTTCAGATTGCTCTCTTGCTACGCCGATAACACTACGATTTGTAGGGTTGCAACACTTTGTCGATATGACGATCGACACGACGATAGGCACAGCGCAGCGCGCAGGACTAGTAGATCTACTGGTATCACCAAGACTTAGAGTTCGGGTTATGTACTCTTGGTATCACGGACTTGCCCAAAAACAACTCACACCACCGCTAGCTACTACATGACATTGTAGTACAAGACAGTACAATTATGTCATGTACTAGTACTAGTATACTACTAGTATTATAACTCCGTCACTACGGTCGCTGAGGAATTAGCCCCGTCGCGCAACGTGCAGCAGTCATACTTCTAGTCATAATAATTATTTCCGTTGCTCAGGAAAAATATCCCCCGTTGTGCCTGAGTCAAACAGATGACACGATAGTTAAACATCTGTGGAAAGCTACGCTAGTAACACTACCTACCGTGTTGAAGTGAAGGTTTGGCTTTGCTTTCTCCGGGCCTCTCCTGAATCCACGGTCTTGCAAGAGCTGGATTCAGTAGCTTTGCTTCATCTTTCCGCTGGTTAGATCGCTCCGCAACGCGCAGTCCAAGAGAAGGGCGTAATTATTATTTGAGCTGGCCAGGACCCGTCAGTGCATCATGACCAAGCGACACGAAGGGATGCATGGAGGAGATCTAACTACTTCAGTTCAGGTTACTTCAAAAGGTAAAGTCACCACGCAAACAAGCAACCACCACCAAAAAAGAGCTGTTGCCGTGTTGCATGCATGCATGCACTACATATTTTGTTGTACTTAGTTAGACTAGCACTAGTAGTAGCTGGTAGTGCTAGCGCGAGCGCTTGCTTGCTCTCATTATCAATCTTTCAATGCACTGACGGCCGGTTTCGCGCGGTAGTCAACTCGGTAGACTACGCGACTACAGACGTCAGTCGTCACGTCAGACTCAGTCATATAGATCTAATGATTATGTATTGTAGTGCATGTAATGACAATGATGTGTTTGGCAGAGCTACATAAATGTCATAATGTCATTATGTACTTGGCCGGTTGATTGACAGTAAAACCTGTCAAGGTGACCACTCCGATAAGGGGTCATCGCAAAAGTTTTTTGTCGTCCCTGAAACGAACATGATTCATTTGGGGGGGAGGGGGTGCGAGCCAAAATCGCAAGTCGACCGACACTGTACAAATGACATGTACATGCATGCGATTTTCGTCGTCCAGCATAGCAAGCTGTGTTCGTTTCAGAGGGAGGGGAGGGGGTCCGAGTACGAAATGAACGATGTTCGTTTCAGGGACGACAGAAAACTTTTGCGACGACCCCTAAGGCAACCACCTGGCCCAGAAGACCCCTGCAACCAGGCCGGGACCAGGGCCAAGAACTCTTGGGTAGGGGATGCTACATTGTAATTCCGATCGAAATTAATGACCCTGGTAACAGAGGCCACGTTTGGGAGATCCCTTGAGAGCGGTCGCTCAGAGACCACGTTTCGGAGATCCCTTGAGAGCGGTCGCTCTAGAGAGTATCCCTTGAGAACGGTCGCTCTAGAGAGTATCCCTTGAGAGGACCCACCGGGCCGGGCCACAGCATACGTTCATTCGGCCTCTAATGGAGTACTGTCCACTTGTATGGATGGGAGCTGCGGCTACCCATCTCTCACAGCTGGACCGAGTCCAGCATCGTGCCCTCACCCCGATTGGGACAGGGGCTGCAATGGACACTCTGTCCCTGCGGCGCCGTGTGGCCGGCCTCACAACTCTGTACAAGCTCCATTACATCGCAAGCCCGCCAGCTCTTGCAGCGACACGCCCAGCCAGAGCCATCGCACCCGCCATCGCGCCTGCCACACGTCGCCAGAACCTCCCTCCCTCCCTCTCTCCCTCCCTCTCTCCCTCTCTCTCTCTCTCTCTCTCTCTCTCTCTCTCTCTCTCAGACATACACTCATACTCATACCGGCCTGCCCATCGCTGAAGCGGCGATGACAGCGAACACGCTATGTTAGACATAGAAACTTGTGCTGGGATTACACCATTCAACAGCTTGCAAGGCTGATGAATTAACTGCCACTAATGTTAGCCTGGTCTACACCACAAGGCTTGTTGAAGTGGCATTTTCTGGCCAATGAATAGGGGTGCGCGGATTATTCCCGGAATAATTTGGGAATACTATCGTCGAGAAAATTTTGGGAATTTTAGGGGAATTCTGTCGATCTTTTGCCAGTTCCATTAACCTTCAGAAGAGTTTTGGGGGAATTCTGTCAATTTTGACCTGCCAGAGAACAAGCGCGCTTCCATGGACGCACGTACATGTACCCGGACACGACATAGTAGCTGTGTACAGTCAGATGTAGATCTAGTACATGTAGTGTAGATCCTGCATGCAGTGATCACGTGCCTGACCGTCCATTTTGCATACTAAAGAGCATGCGCAAGGCACGGTTCGTGCTGGGGTTCCTTTTTTGGGAGAATTCTGGAGAATTTTTTCGATGTTTTAGGAGAATACTTTCGAAGTTCCGCGGGAAATGCCCGAAAGCATAATATCGGTTGCGTGCGAGCATAATCCGCGCACCCCTACCAATGAATCCCTATTTTTTTCATTTTTCAAACACACACCACACCACACACACACACACACACACACACACACACACACACACACACACACACACACACACACACACACACACACATACACACACACACACACACACACACAGCCGTATCATACTTGTTTGAGCACACGACAGAGCTTTTACAGAACATCGGGCGCCGACGAACATCACCAGGCTGAGAAAATCACCAAAATATTCTGACTCGATTGGAAGCTAAGAAGTAAGACATACAATGTATGTGATATCACTTATATGTCATATCTTTTACGCCTTCCTACTGGTAATTCCACGGATGACCGCGATTGGCGCATATGTTGTAGTCTTTTGGACGCTGAGTCGACTGGTTTTGGTCCGAAAAGGCTGCGATGCAGCGTTCCTCCTTTATTCCCAATCGAACATGGTTGAAGAAGCGGTCACGTGCTCCTGGGTGCCCAAATCACCTGGTCACCACGCCAGCAGGCGACAACTTTCACACCAAGGTTCAACTCGAGTGACAGGACTGCACCCAAAAAAGGTCAAACAGGCTAGTAAGTTGTACCCTGCAGGCACGGTGACCAGGTGACTGGCGTACGCAGCAGCACGTGACCGCTTGTTCAACCATGTTCGATTGGGAATAAAGGAGGAACGCTGCATCGCAGCCTTTTCGGACCAAAACCAGTCGACTCAGCGTCCAAAAGACTACAACATATGGGCCAATCGCGGTCATCCGTGCTTTTATAAGAACGAAATGGCGCTTTTAGTGACATTTTGCATACAAATCCCCATCTAGTAGGGCGCAGTCACCCAGTTTCGGTGGAAGTGCGCGAGTTCGATTGGGATTCAAGTAGGAAGGGAGCGTCTCAGCTTCCTCGGACCACGACCATTCGACTCAGCACCCCGAAGACTACAACTGGTGAAATTTTAATGTTTGCCTTAACTTCCCCAGTAAGTTGACTATGTTACTAGTACATACACAAATAGGAGATCCCCCAGATAGGCGTTAGCCTTTGGGCCTTTGTCATGTGATGTGAAGTTCTGCCGTCGCAGCACAGCAGAGGTTGTGCAGGCAGTTGCACACTCTTGGGGGTTAATCCGTTATGTACTCTTGATAATAGGCCTTATGCACATTGTACAGATGCACGAAATCCCGTATAATCTTGAAGAATCCCGTAGACCCGGTTGGGTGTTGAATGTGCAGGACCCTATTGTGTTTACTGCTATTTCCACTATGAAATGGGCCATGAAGGCATTTCATACGAAATCTTTTTCCGGCAGAGATCTAGCTAGTCGTCAGTTCAATCCCAAAGTGAAGAAGGCTTGAAAAGTGATCGTTTGCCATGAATTGTGAGGCTAAATGGGTCAAACGCGCATGTATAGCACACAATGAACACCCAACCGGGTATGTACACACCTACGGCCATAGTACAGAACTTCGTACATCTGTACAATGTGCATAAGGACTATACCAAGAGTACATAAACCGGTTTATGTACTCTTGATATTACTAGATGTCATGCTGGGAGTCGTATTGGTAAAGGTAGCTCAAACCTCTTAAAATTGACAGAAGAATGCCCGTTTTTTGCTTTCAACTGGAAGTCTGGGTTGTATAATTACGGTCAAAAAATGGAATTCACACTGGGGATACTTAGGGTAAATATTGGTGTTTGCCCCTTGAAATTTTAGCTTCGCTGGCCTGTTGTGCAGGATTGTTTTACCCCTGCAAAACAGTCACCATCACTCCAGCACTTACATAGGTCTCTCTCCCCCACCCCCCTAAGTACGAACGCTACCAACCTCAAGGATCAAGGCGCCGAACATGCAGCTCCTAAAATCGACGGGAGGCGAGCAGATCGGACCCAACGCAAGGCGGCCAGAGATCGAAGATCCCATTCACTGCACCCATTCAGGAAGAAGTAGTTTGTAAAACAGTTTTAATTTTATTATTCTATCCATGGGAAAGATCAGAGTGCCTGCTGTAGATGTTGGAGGCACAAAATAAGTCAATAAGCCGAATGATAATAATGAAATACCGGAAGTATGTATCGGAAAGGAATATTGACCTCATAGATAAAAGCAGGGATTCAGAACATGAACAACGTAGAGGAGTGTGCGAGTGAGCGTGTGTGTGTGTGTGTGTGCGTGTGTGCGTGTGTGTGTGTGTGTGTGTGTGTGAGAGAGAGAGAGAGAGAGAGAGAGAGAGAGAGAGAGAGAGAGAGAGAGAGAGAGAGAGAGAGAGAGAGAGAGAGAGAGAGAGAGAGAGAGAGAGAATGTGTGTGTACGTGACAGAGAGGCAGAGCAAGAGGGAGCTTATTGCCATGGTTTACAGTTGTGACAGGCAAAGAGAGAAGGAGATAACAATGATAATTATACTTGTTGACGGAGAAGAAAAAAGAGAGAGAGAGAGAGAGAGAGAGCTCTGGGCATGGACATACAAGCACAACGCGATGGCGGTGCAAAACTGTGTCAAGAGCTAGTCGAGCTGAACAGCAACATGCATAACAAGATGTCTAGACACACACAGCTACATAATCAACTGTGTGTAAATGTCCATTGGAAGGTGATCTGTATGGAGGTCTCAAAAAATAGGATTATTTCGTAGAGCAGTGCAACGCTAGCGTGCACTGCAGAAATAAGGAATATGATCAGAATAGTCAAACGAAGAAAAGCGGCAAAAAATGAGTGCTAGTGGCGAGCACTGCAAACGTAACGAACGTATGCCTCAAGAGCGTTACCCTATGTACAGCGGTGCAATGCTTGTGTGTGTGCGAGTGCGCAAGCAAGGGAGCAACAGGCGCCTGTGTTTACTGGGGGCTGCCTTTACCAGGCCTGTGCTCGCCCCGCCGCAACACGCCCCGGCTATTGAGCCAGGTAGCATGGTGCGGGAAAGAAGCGCATCGCGGTGAGAAACAAAACGGTGTCAAAACAGTGCTAGTGCGAGCGGCTAAAACTGGAAACAGCTAAAAATTTCCAGTTGCAAGATGTGATTGATAGGCTTAAGAAGGGAGGAAAGATAAATTCTGGAACTCAAGACTCCGTGTGTGCCAGCTGCTACTATTCACAGGTGTGTCAATTAGAGACAGCAGAGCGTTAACGAGAGCGAAACAGAGAGAGATAGAGAGAGAGAGAGAGAGAGAGAGAGAGAGAGAGAGAGAGAGAGAGAGAGAGAGAGAGAGAGAGAGAGAGAGAGAGAGAGAGAGAGAGAGAAAGCAAGTAAACACTACTTAGCCATTCAGCAAATTACACAGCACGATTTCGACGTCGGCTTGACATTGACCTTATTCTGCAGACAGGAAAAGAGAGAGAGAACGTAAGTTCAAAAGTAGAAATGGAGCTAAAAAGCAGCTTTGGGCATATCATATACATGTACGCACACACATGAACGGATGCATGCGGGTGCACACGCAAGCACACACCCACAGGCACGCAAGCACACACACACATCCGCCCAACCCCCCCCCCCCCCCCCACACACACACACATACACATGTAAAACCACTTGACAAGATTGACATTCTCTTGCATTGTCAGTCAAATGAAGAACAACAATAATAAACAGCCTGACTTACGTATTTTCGAATTTCCCGGACAAGCTGCGAGAAGCCCTCCATCTACAAAATACACAAAGTACCAACACAAGCCCAGCGTCAATTGGTCAGCAGCAGCAATAGCAAACGAGCTACTCCAGCCAACCACGTGTGTAAGGGGGGGGGGGGGGGAGAGAGAGAGAGAGAGAGAGAGAGAGAGAGAGAGAGAGAGAGAATGTGTGCATATGTGCATGCGCGTTTTGTGCATAGAGCATGTGCTGTGTGAGTACTGCTGTAATGTATTGCTCAGAGTGTCAGCCAATCCAGTGACAAACTGCATTCTACACAATTACATCACTATGTCAGTCACCGGGACAAATTTACAAACTTGGCCAGCAGCGTCGGTACGGCTGGCCAACTGGACTTTTTTGTTCGTTTGAAGTTTTATTTTACATCGCAAACCAAACGGGCATTGATGCCCAATATTACGATGGTGATAGAATAAAAAGTGTGGCTCGACTTTGAAATCCCCTTGCGTTGTGCGAAGGAATCACATGAATGAGGCAGCCTGGTGGACCTCACCTTCCAGAACACGTCAATATCTCTTGGGGAAGGGTGGTAAGTGTACCATGTCCTTGTCCTGATGGTACTTTTCTATGCATTAGATACTTACACACTGAACGCCAATTGTGCATGCCCAAGCATGTTCTGTTTGCTGAGGATCCCATCACAAGACCAGATACGGCCGTCAGAAGTGCTGGCGGAACGTTGCGATTGTAGGTCTAACTAAGAGCCCGTGGGGTCAAAGGTGCCTGGTGTGATCTGGCGTAGCGTACACGAGACCGGTGCCTCGGGTGCGACCGTCCTCAGCCCGTGGTGCCGAAACCAAGACTACTCATTTGCGGCTGCGACTGAGACTCAAGTCGTCCCGATAACATGACACCCCCCCCCGGGAAATACTGCAACTCCTGATGCTATCATTGCATACACAGAGCAATGAGCACCCGGGCCAGGAGTCCAAACGCGCGCGCGAGTGTGTGTGTGTGTGTGTGGCTGAGTGTGAATGCACAAGTGTGCGTGTGTGTGTGTATGTATGCGTGTGTGCACCCACTCTCGCTCATGCCGACGTCAGTATGCATCCCCTTGAAGTACGTAGCATGACTGATGATTGTACTTACCACACCCTGTCGTGTTTTGGCAGAGGTCTCGCAGAAGGGAATGTTCCAGCTCTTGGCCAGCTGAGCGGCATGGTTGACGTCGACATCACGCTTCGGCAGGTCACACTTGTTACCGATCACTGCATTTGCCACATAAACAACACCAGCGGCAAGCATACCATAAACATGACAGAATAAAAAGGTGGTCTCCGTACACAATACGAACTTAGACTCGTTGGAGCAATCAACTTCATGACTCCGTACACAAGTTCAAATAATTACAGTAAACCTATGTTATGCAGTACGAACACCAAGGGACCGATGGTATTGGTTCTCAATTACCAGAGTTCTTCTTATCCATGTTCTATCTATCCAGGAGAGCTATGATTCTTCTAAAGCGAAAGTTTGCCTTATCAGTGTTGGAGGTTTCACTGCATATGTATGTTGAACCATGGCTTAATCGCTGGGATGACTAGTCACCAGGTCTCATACCACAGGCGGGTGATCTGCTCTGCAGCAACTATTCATTCGGCAGATTCCACTGCACTTACGAATCATCGGTACGCCTTCGTGCTCTGCCTTGTCCTTGACACGTAAGATCTACACAGAAGTGACATGTACAGTTGTGGCAAGTGAAATCCGACACTTGCCATAGGGGACAGCGCCACAAATGGACATCAATGATGTAATGCACTGCACCTAATTTGTACTATAGAGCCGTATGCATCCCAAACAGATCGAAAGGTCACAGCATAGATAAACACAGTACACAAATATTTTACACATAAGGAGTATTGGTATCCAATCCCCATTCATTTTTGCCAGCACCTTTTGAACCTTGACTGTGATGAGTACGAGTTTTGTCATCAGACAGATAAAAGTTGTATGTAACACATGTACTGTACGTATGCAGGGCTGCAGGGGCTGCAGACTGCATGGTGCAGTCCCTTATGCCAAGTGTCGGATTTCACTTGCCACAACTGTACATGTATACATACAGCTACACAGGCACACACGTGCGCACACAGACACACACCATGTACACCCATCGCAAGAGAAGCACGCAAGTCTAAATGTGCGCGCCACACACACACACACACACACACACACACACACACACACACACACACACAAAAGGAGCTGAGGACAATCACCGTTCACAAGTTGAAATAGTTCACCTGATCGAGACAAACAGGAAGACAGTTTCAAGATTTGCCTGCAGCGAAGTGCCTGCAATGTGTCCGCTTGAGGAAGGTCCAGATAAGTGGCCCTATACAATGTACTAATGGCAGGGGCGATCATATTTCACATACTGAAAACAGTACGGTTAAGCTACATGGGACAGTAGTATGAAGAAAATTCCAACTCTTGGACTCACCTGATCGCGGAAATTCCTAGCATCTTCAAAGGACTTCCGGTCGTTGAGTGCGAACACAATGAGAAAACCCTCGCCAGTTCTCATGTACTGATCACGCATAGCACTGGAAAGATGCAAAGCAATAGACATGTATGCTGATAAGCAGTGAGTAGAACATACTGGCATGTAAACGGTATTTTACTACTCCTCACTGATTACTGTAAAGCGACAAACTTTCACGGCATGCGAATTTAGCGTTTTCATAAATCGGGCTGGTTCACGATGAGAAACGTTTGCGATTCTATCTCCTCAGTAGGATTTTGAACTGTCTACAATTATTGTATGGAGAGGTTTGGGGCGATTTATATTTGTGAATGTGTGATGGTCGCAAAATAGCGAAATTTAATCTCTAGCGAAGTTTGTCACTTAACAGTAGACGGCTTTCAACATGCCGAATGACATGGCTGGTATTGGTCATTTCTCAAGATACACAGCCTCCTCAGATCGAAAACAGTAAACGGAACAGTGTACATGATTGTGCAGTACCGGAGTGGGAGGAAGGGGATCCGCATCAAACCCGGGGGCCGGTTTTCTTCTTCTTCTTTTCGTTACGTACTACAGTGACAGTCTATTACTATTGCGACTTACTGTAAAGCGTGACATTTTCGCGGCGTTTTTAGTTCGCGTTTTCAGAATCCGGACAGGTTTGCGAGGTTTTAATTTTGCGATTGCAGAATTTGCTATTGTGGCATTCATGCTAAACCTTTTATGGATCTCCTTTTCGCGCTGTCTAAATTTCGCGATTTCCACGCGGTTGCGAATTTCGCAGAAATTAGACCATCGCAATAATTTCAGGGCTCACAGTTGCGTAGAAAAGCGTTGATTAGATGGGGGCGGTGCACGTGCTCCAAAATGCCAGCTTGGCCAATCAGCAGTCAGCATTTCGTCGCATTTTTGCTCGAAGTAGGGGGTGTTTGAAGGAGTTAGCAGCACTTCAGCCTGGTTCTACGAAGCTGAGACTTGGCCCAGGCACAGTTGACAGGTGTTCCAAAAGATTTACCGAAACAAATTTTCATTACTCACACGGGTATGCCAGAGCATATGCGTAAACTTCGTGAGATATAGTACAGCATTCGAAAGGAATATCCAGAAACGTCTCGGTAAATTTCTTTGCCAGGATCTCCTGAAAATTTTGAGCCATAGATTGTCCAAATCGACCAAGGGGGAGATGCTCTGTACTAATTTTAGTAACCCCGAGTCCCAGCGGCGCGCAACCGCTTGCACGAAAATGTGTGAAGATCAAACAACAAGAAAAACGCATGCATGCAGCAGAACAGCAACGCGTGCCGTCGAAGAGAAAATCATTGTGCACAGATTGTTCAGTGTTCTCTCCTCAGTTCGCCCGCGGCGTTGGTTGCTGTGCTTTCGTTCTCGCTGGAGTTCTTGTGGCAGCGCAGTTCGCCATCATGGAGGAACTGGCACCCTGGGAAACCTGGTCTTCAGTGGCCCTCGACAAACGCCCGGTGGATTTGCTGGTCCCGTTCACCTCCATCCGATCACCAGCTCCGTGTGGTATTATCATGTTCTCGGCGTTACCTGCCTGGCGAGCTCTGACTCGTTTGTTTGTCTTCTTACCTGTGGAATCATCACGATCGCTCATTGTAGGATGAGCTCTTGGTCGAACATGGCATGTTGTTTTTACTGGGACTAGCACAGGTTGCGTTTCGCCTTCTCCTCCAAAATATCGCGAACATCGGCTCTAAAACTACGAGAGCAGTACACATGGTCCAAGTACAACTCGGGTTCTTTCCCTTTTCTGTGTGGGATGTACACACGATCGGTACTCTCCCGGGGTCACGCGACTCACGTGCACCAAACCCGCCCTCGCACGACGCTTTTGTCGATCCTGCATGCCTACTGTGAGCCCTGAATTTCACGGTTTACAGTATCCGGCATAACATTAAGCATCCAATCACGGAAATGTTCTCCTTACAGGTGAGAAAGAATACGGCTTCAGAAACTGGCGCACACGTGCACACTCGCCACAGACGGACAAACATGCTCACACATACGCAGAGAAATGTTCTCCTTACAGGTGAGAAAGAGTATCGCTTCAGAAACTGGCACACACGTGCACTCTCGCCACAGACGGACAAACATGCTCACACACACACGTAGAGATTTGTTTGTATGGAAACCTACCAGTACTCCTCCTGTCCGGCAGTATCCAGAATGTCCTGAAAATGGAAGAGAAAAAAAACCAAAAACTTAGAATGGATTTCCCCATCACAGTACGTAGGGGCAGGGGAGCAGCATTAGAAGTGAAACAAGGACTACAGTGTATGCAACGATCGGCTAGTACTATCTGCAGATGTTCAAACTTCAAAGCCCGACAGTGCAGCACTAACAAAAGCTTCAACCACAGGGATGTTTCCAGGAAGGGACACAAGATGAAAACCCCTGAGCACAAGTGCAATGCAGTAGCAGCAGCACAACAGTCATACCAATTCGCATGTCTCCTCGTCAACCAGCAATCTCTTCTTGTACGAATCCTCTGCAACAAGGAAGAGAGAAAAGCAAAATACTGTCACTTCAGGCCAAATGAAGGCGCCAGTAAATATATAAGAAGAGACTTGCCTGGAAACAAGTCAACTAAATCAAACTTTATTATCAAAAACAGTTCTTCTCCAAATCTGAGCTCAGCATGTCATTCCACTTCACTTCAAATGCACGTGTATTTCCCAACATACGGTCTTCTGCGGGTTGCATGCCTTGCGCCACCTCCCTGCAATATAAGGTACAGACATGTATGGCACGACATTCTGCTTCACGAATTGTCCACACTAATCACTTGGCACCGCAAAGGAGGAGAAGTAAGGCCAGGAATTGCCATTCCGGTCAGAAACCAAGGGGAGCAATTTGGGCAATCAATTCAAAAGCAGTGCGACTGGTACATGGCACAGCAGAAACAAAACACAGACCAGACTACGGTGCTCACCAATCGTGGGATCATATTCGGCGACGAATCTGCAAGGGGCAGAAGAGTAGGACATGACAGCTTAGCAAGTTAAGTCACAGGCCCATGGCATCGCACATCCATGGGTCAAGGCGTTAGCCAGCAAACACAAGAGAAACAGAAATCCAACAGCAAGGAGTAGCCACCTTCTTCAAATATTACCGCCAGTCACAGTGTCCTTATGCACAGTGTAGTACATACATGACCGTATCAAATTGACAATGATTGTGGCGGAGAAAAAGAAGAGAAGAGAAGAGAGAGAGAGGGAGAGAGAGAGAGAGAGAGAGAGAGAGAGAGAGAGAGAGAGAGAGAGAGAGAGAGAGAGAGAGAGAGAGAGAGAGAGAGAGAGAGAGAGGAGAGTAGGAAGAGGGATAGGATAGGGTGGGGCTGGGGGTTGCTAGTACTAACAGCAGCAGCAGGGTAACTATTCACCAGGCATCACTGCCTAATTCTAACATGACAAATTGATTGTATTTATTTTATTAGAATCATCATTGTGCAGACCCAAGGCAGGTACAAAATTATATTACAAAACTACAAATACCCAGTTCTGCACTAGCCAGTGTGCACATTAGTGCATAGTGAAAACAGCAGCTGCACAGTCACTGGTCACAGTCACTGGTCACACTAGAACACAGTCACATGACGCTCATTGCACTGAACTACAGTAACTCAAAAAGCTTCACCTAAGAAGTAGTTAGAACCCCTGACATGATGCATGGCTAGCTAGCCTGCTGGATGCTAACAAGAATGGTGTACTACTGCACACGCACCTGACTCCAGCTTGCCTGCGCAGCTGCTACCAATCCATGCAATAGAGCCACCTAGTACTAAGTCTTGTACTTGTAGCACTGACACACAGTGCTCTATGGGCATTACACAGCAGCATTCAATCACCATCACTTGGCCACCTAAAATTTGGCTAAAGTAATTTTAGTCTGCCCCCCCCCCAACACACATACTTGAAGTACAAACACACAACAACAGTGGATGCATAGCAAAACCTGCATGCCACTTGACCCCACTTTAGAAATTCAGCACTCCGTGACAGTTTGGCCAAAGGAACTAAAAGGTGTAAAGCAGCGGCCTGCAAAGTAGAAGCCAGGATGTGCTGAGTCAAGACGCCACTGGCTCACAAGCCGTCCCAGCACCAGCACCAGGAAAATCCGCTTGTATCCTTGTATTGCCTACCCATTTGGAATGATGACCTAGGCACACCAGCCGACCCATGCAAACTGCCAGTACATGTACAAGCAAAGAGTCTTACAGCCACCACATCTCAAGGAAACGAGTATTCGTTTAGGTAACATTAACCTCAGTTCCAACTTGCTTCTGGAGTGCTTTTCCATGTTGTCTATTTTCCAAGGGACATTACACAGCCTGATCCGAGCAGAACTAACTTCTCGAACGTACACAAGAACACATGTTGCAGCATACGAAACGTTACAATTTTTAAAAACAAAAACATCACAATCAGCATACACTGTCATTGACATAACAACCTGGTAGCTGAAGAAGAAGAAAACCACTGACAGGCCTACAAATAATTGATGACGGGAATATAAATCACCAGCGCCAGGTGCCATACATTATAGTACTCCCACAGTAATTGCAAGCAGTCATGGGTCAACAGACTCAACACACATCTCAAAGCACACTGCTATTCACTCAAACGTCTCCAACGTTCCACATACTACAGCCTAACAGGTGACCTTCTTACCTGACATGATCTACATAATTATAGTACATTTGAAGTGCATGTACAGGTTGAGAAAATTTCACTGGATAATAGATACCGTAATTGGATCATAAATAAGACCGGTTATTACGAGCACACTTGAAGTCCCTGGAGTAAAAGTTGATTGCTTCATAATAAGGGGGGGGGGGGGGGGACGAGAGACAAAGTTAGTTTGTTCAGCAAGTTTCTTCAAGGAGTAAGCTGATAAGATTGTTGAACGCGAAAAGAACAAAGAAACTTGAAAGGTTATGCGACAAGCGCGAGATGATCGTTGTCGACCTGTAATTGCTGCAGAGATCGATCCCAGTCTGGTAGTCATACACACTGTGTGGGTGATCTAGATATAAAAAGTTAGCCGGTTCTACCCGCATTGAACTTCGCTCGGCTCTTGCGGACATTGGTGGTTCCCGTTTTGTTACAGCAAGGCACGAGACACACTCAAAAATGGTCCCGGTACTGAATCCCAGTACACACACACACACACACACACCTCAGACCTCAAGACATGCCAATCGCGGAAGCGATGATAGCGAACAGCTATGTTAGACATAGCAACTTGTGCACACACACACACACCAGTGCCCCAGTGCAACCCTGCTGCAGACCCTGAGTGAACCAACCCACACCATGCACAGGGGGGAGGGGGGGGGGGGGGGGGCAGCCTTGCACCTTACAAGTACAAAGCTGCCCGCCATGCACCACATTCTATATTGTTGACCTCTACCAAGAGTAGATGAAAGTGTGCAGCTCAAATGGCTGTCAGGGTGAAATTCCTGGAGCCGACCATTTCAGTGATGCAGTGCGAGCGAGCAAGACTCCAGCAAGCCTCCTGCCCCACAATTGCAACTCAATTGTACACACTACGCCACTTCCCGCCATCGCCTACTGGCATTAACTACGAAGTCCCGCAGAATATCGCCGCGACATAACCCCATGCGGAGCCTGCACACTCTGGCTCTCGTGCACACTCGCGGCTACTCGCCACAGCCCGTCCAGTAACATGCGGCGCCAGCGGCACCCATGTGCATTGCTACGTGGCTAGCACGTGTTCGACGGGTCAGAAAGCTACATCACAGACACTATATGAGATATGTACATAAGCACGTTCTGTATTCTAGCCTGTGAAGGGCCTAGTTCCCACACGCACATGTCTACATGCACTGACACTTTGAGCATTTTTTTTTCAAAAACATCAATAACTCCGAGAGCACCACTAACACAATAGTTCACACTACCAAGTATTTGTTTGACACGATTATGGTGGTACACGTCTGTTCACACATGCACGCACACACACACACACACACACACACACACGCGCGCACACACACACCATGTACCACACACACACACACACACACGATTATGGTGGTACACGTCTGTTCACACATGCACGCACACACACACACACACACACACACGCGCGCGCACACACACACACACACACACACACACACACACACACACACACACACACACACACACACACACACACACACACACACACACACACACACACACACACACACACACACACACACACACACACACACACACACACACACACACACACACACACACACACACACACACACACATCAATGTACTAATAAATTTACGGTTCGACTGAGCTGAAGCCATCATGTTGCTACGATGGAAATTTCGTCACAAAGATTAAGGTCCGACTGAGCTGAAGCCATCATGATGCTACAATACAACTTTAGTTACAAAGTCATTTATTTCATTGATAATCCTTACTCGTTCTGGACAAGCTGGATCGTCAGTGCACTCTTGCCAACACCGCCAGCTACATGTGAAGAAAGGGCAGAGCGGAAATCCAAAAGAACGAACTTATATCAGACACTATCGAGCAAAGTGTATCTACACTATACCACTAAAATTAAAATTAAACCCATAGAGTGTGCGGAGAGGGGGACAAAACAAACCTCACCTCCCACAACAACCATGCGATATTCCACAGCCATTTTGAAATGCGGTGCAACTAATACTTCAAGTTCTACTGCGGACACTACTCCACCTCGCAATCAAACAGGAAAATATGAGGCTACTGGTGGTGGCGAAATACGCTCTGCCGCCTAGTTTCCAGGTTTATAACTGCTTGCGACTGTGCTTGCAACAAAGCATCAGCTTGCATTTGCGAAAGACGATGAAGTGGGTTGTGTTGACTTGTTTGTTGGACTGATTTACAGCTGCAGTACAGAGTAGTGTAGAACATCAGTGTGACTGCTGGCGCGAGGTCTTGCCAACTCTTGGATGAGCAGTCTGTTGCACAGTCATGTCAATCAACGATTTGCACCGGTTTGAGAGACGTTTTTGGGTTTTTTTAAGGTTTCCAGGCTATTTTTAGGTACCACCTCGAAGAATATGCAACACGGCATCTGCCTCAATGTCCGGGCGCGTGATGTCGCTTCCGTAAAAATCACCAGAAAGTTTAGAAAATGTAACAACTTACCTGGCATTTGACACAACACAGCAGATTTACCTTCGGCGTATCGCGTGTGACCTGTCTCCATTTTCGGACTCTGACATCATGATGTAACATGTTGTTCAGCTCACTTGAGCTCAGATGCAGTCCCACACGTCATCATGGTACTGCTCTCTTCTCGAAGACGATCTTGAACTGAACAGAAGTCTTTGGCATTGTGTCCAAAAATAGCTGTCTTTCCTGGTTGTGATGGCCGGCCTGGTCACCAACTAGATCTACATGACTGTACATGTACATGTGGACGAAACAGTTCTGTCCGCAGATTGAGTATGTACATGTATACTATAACAGTATAAAGCCACACGAGCGAGCTGCATGCCTGAATTATGTACTCGACAATTATTATTTTGATAATTTTTGCAATTTTGATGTTTCAAAGACTCAAAAGTGCTGCACTGGCAGATCTACAAGTACGACACTGTGACAACGTTAATAAAAAAATATGCAACATTCATTGAGTCTTTACTCGATGACGATTGCTGGATTTAATAGTACATAATTACAGTCATGTACATGTACTAAGGAGTAAGGTAGTCGACTTGTTTTTATTCAAAGCCCCACATTAAGTGAAGAATAGCAAGAAGGTACAAGAGAAGAGCTAGAGAGAAAAGGGAAACCAAGGAGGAGTCCAGGTGGAAAAGGAAAAGTAGTAGCAAGAGTTCATAACCTCTTGGTAGTAGTTGTAGTAGTAGTCAAAGAACTTTATTGAAAATCCATGATAATGTGATAGGAAAGATGATTGAAGAAAATCCAAACTGGATTCAAATCCAGGCAATTATTAGCAGTCACTACTATCAAAGCAGATCATTATAGCCAATAGCGCAAATAATTACTTGGAAAGCCGGGCCAAAACGGAACTTGAGATATTGAAACTTTAACCGAAGGCCTCCGCACGCAGCACATGGAGGGCCATATATTCCCACTCACAGCTGCAGCAAACGGCATTGGTCCAGGAATGAAATTGCTACACGTTTCGGCAGTATGAAGCTCTGCACCCACGAAAGCAAGTAATCAGCCAGCGGAGCAAAATAAAAGAGATCCTGCAGCGCAAATGCGACATTACTATTGCATAACTAAGCTCTGGCTGCTTCTCGACAATGAGCTGAAGAATGTTCTTTAGAGCACGGGTAGTAGTAGTACAGTGTAGTATTATTTCAGTTGAGTATTGAGTGTTCTATTTATTTCCGAAATTGGGTTGTCTTTTTGCTTTGACTCTTCCTTCATTGTGTTGTGAATAAAACCGTTCTCAAGTAGTAGTAGTAGTAGTACAGTGTAGTAGTAGTACCGGTACTAGCAAGAGTACTCTTGGTACTAGCAAGAGTCCATAAACAAAAAAACTGTTTATGGACTCTTGGTAGTCTACTTACTAGCAGTCTTGCCGTCTTAGTACTAATATAAAAATTTTAGTAAGGGGCCGTCCGGGGTTACCGATTGTTTTTACAAAACGAAAAGTTTTAGGGTGCGTTCTTAAATCCTCTCGGAAAAGTTGGAGACTCTCCGAAAAGTTCGAGAGCTGTTCTTATAATCCTCTCCGAATTTTAGGAGGCTCTCCAAAGCTCTCCAAGCTCTCCAAGCTTCAGAGGTGGTTGAAACTTGGAGATTCCCGCGGTTTGGGATCAGCGCATGCGAACTAGGCTAAAAGCCACGTGTTGATCATGAGTGTACGCATTTCCCTTTTCGCATACGCACAGCGCATACTATTTTCGTGGCACTCAAGATCGCGGCCCCTTTGGCGCTTCATTTTGCTTGACATCTGCAAAATATCTCCGAATTCTTCGAGACCCGTTCTTGAAGAATCCCAGTTTCTTCGACTTCTCTTTTCTTCTTCTCCTAGAAGCTAGAGAATTTAAGAACGCACCCTTAGTATTTTTCAACCCCCACCCACCCACTCACCTTTTCTGCAGGTACAACGAATTCCAATAAAATATTGATGTGATTTTTTGACACCCAGAAGTAACTGGGCATTCTCCATCTGCAATCAATAATTATTTTCAAAACGAAACTCCCTCAAACCCACCCACCCCCAAACGAAAACTTTTCGTTTTGAAAATATTATTGGTAACCTTGGACGGCCCCTAATCCATGCAACAATCGTATCCAGGACTACTACACTGTAGTATACAGTCAGACCTCGCTTATCCGGTCCTCTTTTATCCGGAAGAAAATAGCTGGTTACATATTTACAGCATACGTGATGCATCCAACACAAACGGTGTTCGGTTATCCGGTTCCCTCGCCTATCCGGATGTTTTTGTGGAAAACAGATGTGTGCGGTTATGCGAGGTCTGTACAGTATTCGAGCGAATAATCAGTCATGGAAATCTGCTTATATCAAGACTCTTGATACCGGTAACAATCCAGAACTGCAGAAGAGCAAGTGACAGGCACCCTGGAAGCTTATTAGGCACCGCGTACCGGCGGATTATGCCAGCAGAAAAATTGGCAGAATTCGGTACTTTTTCTGGTCAGTTTCCTGCATGTTTGGTATGTGAATAAAGAAATGGAGCAGAATTCGAGGAATTGCCCGCCAGAAGGTTTGTATGGTAGAGTTCGCACGCCACAACAAAACTGGAGCACACACACCACAACTACTCTTGCTACTAGTAGTACTAAGACACAGCTACCCAAACGGGTCACGCCGCGTGTACATACACACACACACACTTGTCCAAGCACAAGGCTGAGTTGTATCGACTTCTCACATCCATCAAAATGCCAACAGATATCAAAACTGCAAATAGAAGAATACAAGCGGGCTGAGGCAGTTCATATCTGCGACAAAGCAGCTAAAGCAACCAGTCAGGGCCTAGTTAATAACTAACATGTCATTAATGTTTCCCGTGAGAATTCAGCGAAAATTTACATGGCGCCTACAGGAAACGAAAAGATGAAATTTGAAATTATACATTAATACAATAATTGTATGCCAGCTGCATAGCTACAGCAGGCATGCAGCACGAACAAAGTTAACGCTTTTGTGCAGGAGAGACATAGAGGAGAAACCACCATGGACAAAGTATCATAGCTGGGGGACTGTACAAGAGAGTAATGATAAATGTGGCCTGGACATAGCGAGAATTTGGACCAGCGTGAAAAGGGGGCAAAAAGGACTGCGACACAAAAGTAGAAATGAAAAAAAAGGAACCAGTAATATTCCTAAAAACCAGAAGTCACAAACCAACGTTGAGCAAGGGCTTAAGCCTGCAACATCGGAATGGAGCTGTGCAATAGCAACACAACCGCAGGCCCGGAAAAGCAGGTTGCTCATAAAAGACCAACTGCAAGGCAAGCAGACGCCAGCTACACCAGTGAATCATGAGGAAAGGGGCATCTAGCAACACATCGAGCACGGCAGTATGGCACAGAGGAAGAGAAAGATATAGAAACCAGAAAGGCAAAAGTATGTACGGCTCTCTATTTAAGGCCACCACAGCACTTAGACTTTTGTGGGTCTTCCGTTGTTGGAGCAACAGTAATAGTCTGTACATCATTGCTTGGCTGGGGACCGTCACCATCACTGTCCCGGATCTGTTTCTGAGACACAATGTGGTAAATTTCTGCAAAGCAAGTCAAACACAAAGACAGAAGGAAAGAGCAAAGAAGACATTGAGGTACGGGTCATGCAAGCACAATGCACACAAGTTCAAAGGCAGTGCAGTTTTCCTTAAGTATAAGCCACACTATTTGCGGAAAAAGTGGCATGAAACCAGTCTCTTGGCAGAGGATAGAAGCCAGATTTGCGCATGCAAGACTGAATTCAATCTCAAGGAGGAATGCCAATTCAGTACATGCAAAGCCAATAAAGCGAGTACAATTTCTAAACCAATAGAGCGCATACAATTGTCGGAAACGTGGTGAAGGACGAGGAGAACAATAAAACGCTGGACAGCGAAAGCTGGCCGTCCCGGGTGAGGGTGAAACCGGGGCCAGGCAACTGTCCTAAAAAGTTTACTTGGAACTATACACACACTACTGTACAGGCATAAAATTTCGTCGGTCAATAATTTCGTCCAACTCCAAAGAAAGTTAGTTCGTCCGGTTGAAAATTTAGCCCATGGACCAAAAGAGTGTATTGAAAAGGTGGACAAATCAACATCAGTCCGGCATTCAATTGTCCAAAAGCTCCTTGGACAAAAAAAAAGACGAATATTTCGGTTTATACAGTACTTGCACAACCACAAACAGCACTATCTTCCTGCATCCCAGAAGTAACAGACACACACACACCTGCAACGTAGGGACACTGTCACAATAGCTTTACAACCATGCACCCAACTTCATGTGTCAGCCGATCTCAAAAAGACAGTGGGCGGGTGACTCAATCGGTCTTCCTCTCGGCATCCCGAGACACGGGAGGTGTAACGGAAATTACCATCCAAGCAAAGCATAATCCGTGAGAAACCAGCAGCTGCTCTTTTTTTGAAGTCCACACGACATTATCTAGTGACAGTTGTCCCTACAGGTATTACTACCCCCTCCGTTCCACATGAACCCCTCAGTAGATCTGCTAGTCCCATGCCTGTATGCTCAACTGGATTAGTTTGTGTTCTGGGGGCAACCAGCAAGGATGTGATAGCCATAGACCGCTTCCACCAATTTCTGCATGCCTCTTAAACGCGCAGTACTGTCACAAGGCCGATTGTTTGTCAGGATGCCTTAAATGCACCTAAATGAAGGTATGAGTTGGTGTGTGTCGCTTCCTGGTCACCCACCGGTGCTTCTGCCAAATTAGGCAGATCTACCATAATCTCCCAGTTACCAATGCTGCTCTGGGTGATCTTTCGCTGGCCAGATTCTTATTGATAGTTGCAGCAGACCAACCAGCGTATACTATCAACATCAATCTGGGGCAATTGCTTGAACCCACACACTCGACAACATGCTCAGCTCGGCGTAACTGGTGTGTTAAAAGTCGCCACCATTTACTTGTACCCAACGACATTGCCATTCACCGTCCATTCCATGTACCGTATTAACGCACATATAAGCACATGCGCTTATAAGTGAATTTTGCTACGAATCCAATTTTCAAAAATGAAATATTTTCACCTGAACGCGCATGCGCGATCACAGTTCGTTTGCCAGAATCTTTGTGTTTGACTAGGTCTTGTAGTGTCAGTTTTATGGTTCCTGTGTGCTGTTTACAGGCTTTTATCCGTGATTGTGTCAAAGTGATAATTTTGGTAGTGCTTTGCTTATAGGTGAGAGTGCGCTTATATCCGAATACAGGCGCATGCGCCTATATGTGCGTTACTACGGTATTTATACGAACATAATCTAGGGGTCATTTGCATGAGCTTTAGCATGAGTATAAAACCACGAGGAATGTGCAACTCCACTATGGGTGCTGTCCCGACCGAACTCCACAGTAACATCAGTCTGTTCTAAGATGCAATGTGCAGCATTATACACTTATTACCAGACGTATTCTGGACATGTGGCGGACAAATTTCCATTTGATAATGTACAAACTAGTTCAAGGAAACACGCGTGACACGTTGACACACCGTAGAAACGTAAATTGGGGGTGATGTGCATTGCACCAGAAAAAAATGACGTCAACTTGAAATTCAGCCAGCACAGCAGAGTATGTGGGAGTCGCACACTTGTGGGGGTTATGTACTCGAGGTTTCACTGCTACCTTGAACGCACACCAGTACACAGCAACAAGTACAGCCAAACATTATCAGGACGAATACTGATATAAGGTGAAATCTGGAATTGCACAGACAAGGGCCAATCCTATTGTTGGTCAGTCATGAAATCAAGTCATAATTGTTCGGGCCTCTTACGACGAACACGTGTAACACGAACTTTCGTGAAGGCAAGCTATTTTCAAACGGGATTTGAATAAAATCAGCGCGCAGTACAAACTATTGGGCCACGTGCACATGCAAGTCATGTATGTAGTCTAGTGTAGCGCACTTGACGTACATAGGCATTGCACTTTACAACTGTGAGTACAACATCATACAACCTTTCCACAGGGCTCAGCGTATGCGTCACTGGTGACTGGTTTACATTTTCTACAGCATGCACTTTAGCATCAATACAACCCCCCCCCCCATGCGAAACTTCCTAAGTTGGTTGTGTTTCTCAACGCAATTGTATAGCCGGTGGTAACGCGGACGTGCAAACTTTACTTTTTTACAACCCCCCCCCCCCCCCCCCCCCAGTATGTACATGTACTCTTGGTACAATCCATGGACATGTATATCAACTTTGGGGTCAGATCTGGACAAGCAGAACTCCAGACAAGACAAACAAACTTGTTCAGTCCCTTGAAGTTGGTCTCAAAGAGGATTGACTGAAACTGATCTTTTTTTTTACTGACAATAACACCAGGCCAAGAGGCCACCTGGTCTGCAGTACCACTATTCTTTGACACCAGACGTATGGAATGAGCAAGGGCAAGAGTACCCCCTCCCCTCAAAAAGTGTGCAACTCCCGCATAAGTTACCCTGCTGCCACGACAGGATTTCAAGTTGACGTCATCTTACTAATGAATGTATGGTGCAATGCCAGTTGCATCAGTGATTCACGACATTTGTACAGGGTGCCAACAAATCACACGTGTTTCCTTGAACTAGTTTGTACAGGATCAGATGGGGCATTGCCCATCACAGGTTCAGAATACGTATGATAATTATCATACGTAGGCAGTACAGTGCGCATCGCAACATTCTTGGCAAGGGTGACCCAGATTTAGAGACAACATACACAATCAAAGATCGTGCTAGCTGACTCCATGGGTGGCTGCTGAAACCATGCTCTACCAGAATGTTCCCTGCACTACGATCAGATTTACACCCCCCCCCCACATATTGTCGAACTATGGCACCAGCATCGTGTCAAACAACACTACAGAACACTAAGAGGCGCACTGTATTGTTATTCCAAAGTTCTGTCATGTGTTTACTGCTTTCGACATGAGAAAAATGGAGATGAAACGGCAATATCACATGCGGTGCACAGACCAGCATGACGCCACGGCTCATTTTCAAATACGGGTTCGAAGCACTCAGGCATTATTACTATCTCCTCCTCTGCCCCCAGCATGAGCAAACCACACTGTAATAAAACAGGAATTAGGGCAAGCATGTAAGTGAATACACAGACATATCTTACCTGTCAAAATATTTTGAAATGCAGTCTCAACATTAGTCGAATCTAAAGCAGAAGTCTCAATGAAGGACAAACTGTTTTTCTCTGCAGACACAAACCAAAAGCAGGGAAAAAGCAAGAGAACTGGTCAGATTCTTTGTCCACAAGTCACAAAAGGAACGTTTCAATACGGACTTGATTAGCTGGCTCAAAGAGCACAACAAACCGAAGCACGTGGAGGGTTGAAGTATGCCGATCAAGATCGGCAAAAGTACATAACCCCAAGCGTGTGCAACTCCAACTATGGGGCCTGCGAAGGCAGAACTTCACATCAAGTGACAAGCTCGTACACATTACTTGCACCCTGTGCATGATAGATACAGAGGTGTATGCAACTCTCCTGTGGTCACTTCGCACTGATTGCGAGCGTGACCCATTGAACAATGTCACAGGATGTGAAGTTCTGCCGTCGCAGCACTGGATAGGGGTTGTGCAGGCAGTCTTGGGGTAATGTACTCTTGGTATCGGAAAGACGAGCCACACAATAATTCAACCAACACCAGCACAGAATCACAGATGAAAAGCTGAAAGTTGGTCAAATACAGAATGAGCACGCAATGGCCACTGACATTTGCCCCTTGCGAAAGCCATGCCTGAGCACAGTTCAGTGCTCAAAGGGCAGGGTCATGTATCCAGTGCACAACGCTGTTTTATTAACACCGATAAATGTCCAGCGAAACCCGGCGCATTCGTCGTGAGGAGAGGTATGCATTGGATAGCAACTAGACGTATAAACATGCAATGGCCCAGTACAATTTACCTATTTTCTACAAGCAGGATAAGGTCGAAAATCCGAGAGTTCGAAGATGCCACCAACTATGGACAGGAGTATATGACCTCCAAAGTGTGCGCAATTCTGCATAGGGAATCTCCAACAGCGAAAACTCACATCACCTGCACAAAGTACGCTTCGCACTACATACAAGAACAGTTAGCGTGGATGTAGTCCAGATATCCCGCCAAGATCATGCTGATAACCTGGTCAAGGTGACTGGGTTTCTTTCAGGGAGTGCCACTTCACAGATAGATGAAAACTAGTGGTGAAACAAATGTCAAAACCTAGTAGCCGAATATTCTTTGGCTTAACGAACGAACGCACGAATATTCTTTTGGTAACACAGATGACATCACATGCCCTCCTCTCAGTCATTTGATGGATATTGTCATTACTATTAGGCATGACAAACAGTAGTGCCACATAAAATGCACCAGCATATAAGGCTACTTCGAAGTTCATACATGTTATGTGCAACATTGGCAGTCCAGTATGCACATACATGTGCAAACATGCAGTACAAAGTCACAAGCAGGCTGTACGCACTGTCTGTACTGTGTTTGGCATGCATGTATGTACATTCACTGCGTTTGAAGTGACGTCACGAATACTCGAATGCGACTTAAAGAATATTCGAATGTGACCAACCGAACGAACGTTCAAATGTTCGAATATTCGTTTCACCACTAGTGAAAACAGATCTGCACCCAACAAAGCAAAAGTGCACTGCGTGATGCGAGTTTTCGCCGGCGACGGAATATCGGGGGTTATACGATGTGTTTACCATGATACGCTGGAAGCGCATACTCTTTGTATAGTACAAGGTACATGTATGTACATGACATTGTACTGTGCACTACATCACTGATGTCCATTCATGGCGCAGTCCCTTGTGGCAAATGTGTGATACCACTAGCCACAACGGTACTACACCTACTTGTAGACAACAGCTACTACTAGGCAGACCCCAACCATGGAATACAAGCGTCAGTCAAATATTCTACAAAAAAAGAACGAGTTTAGGTACTGATTTGTGACGGCACATAGATACGTTCCAATGCTATGGCCAAAAGACCGTCCATCGTACTATCGATGCTGATTCCACCCCGGAAACATTTCATAAATACTTCTAACATCAGTCCAGGATGCCAGAGATTCAATTTATGTGTACAGATTCCAATCCATTTATGGATCACTGCAAATAATTGCAGAACATTCTCCATCAACGTAGAAACAGCTTACACAGCTGCACTGCTCTTCTGCCCTGCACATAACTACGGAATCACAGGAGCGCCATTATCAGCTTTTAGGAAGGGTCTCCTGCACCACTTCAATTCCTGTCGCTTTTCCAGCTTGAGAATCCACAGAAACGATAAATCACCTACTTCTCTCCAACTGCTTTGTCTGACAAATCCAACGTCCAGGAATCACTACTTGCATTGGCCACAAAAGTGCAACAAGCACTCACTGGCCTTGGATAGGCTAGGCTCCTTATTCCAATAGTACTGTGCCATCCACCAACACCGTCAGGAAAACTCACCAGCGAAGTCTCGTGCCTCGTCCGTAGGCACAGCTCGTAAATGGCGAAGATCGCTCTTGTTACCGACAAGCATGATGACAATGTTGTTATCGGCATGATCCCGAAGTTCTTTTAGCCATCTCTCAACATTTTCGTAGGTCAAATGCTTTGCAATATCGTATACCAATAGAGCACCAACTGCACCACGATAATACCTGAAAGCCAGGGAAAGATAGAAGTTCAGAGAGACGACATCAGCAAGTGAGAAAGAAGAGAGAAAAAAGGGAAGAAAAAACCAACGTGCATGAATACTGTCAAAGAAAACTCACGCGCTGGTGATAGCTCTGTACCGCTCTTGTCCAGCTGCAAAACACAACAAAATGTTGCAGACGATGATCAGCGCTGAGGATCTGAGGGCTGCCAAGAATTATAGATTTAGAAATCAATCACCAACCTGTATCCCAGATCTGCGCTTTTATCGTCTTGCCGTCCACCTGAATGCTTCGAGTGGCGAACTCAACACCAATCGTAGATTTGGACTCAAGGTTGAACTCATTCCGTGTGAACCGGGAGAGCAAATTAGACTTTCCAACACCAGAGTCACCGATCAGGACAACTGCACAAGAACGCCCCGGATAAAAATTGGCACAAATCCATGAGCCAATAGAGCCTAGCAGGAACTACATGCAGCTCATAAATACCTTTGAAAAGGTAGTCATACTCATCGTCCTTGGTACCCATGCTGCTCCACGGTATTACCGGTAAGGTTGCTTCAACAAAAAAAAACTTCTCCTTCCTTCTCTACACAGCAAGGCACGCCAAATAGCCTTGTCAGAGGTGCCTTTCCCAACCGCCTCTCAAAAAAGCGAATGTGTTGGCGTAGATCCGCTGTTGGCTGTCAGAGCGCATGCGCCCGGTATCGTGACGTAATGTGAATCCCGGCAGTATTGGAGTGTTTCAGACGGTTTCCCCCCTCCCATTACAGACAAACTCGCATAACCCTGGTCTAAACCTGATTCCAAGCAATAAATCTCTGCTGAATTGATGATTCCGTCTGTAGAATATGAATGAAACTGGAAGGTTTCGCAACAACTCACGGACCGTTGCCGTTGGCAGGTGCCAGCAGCCAGGGAGCCCTACACGTGACATACCGGTATGCGTAGGGCTCCCTGGCTGGCGTCCGTGTGGACGTGGATCTACAGCCTACACTGACTGTCTGTAGTCTGTAGATCTACACTCAGTACAGACTCAGTGCATGATGTACAGGTGGCGATCTGGGGTAGCTGGTACTTGGTAGTTTGACTCAGGGAGTAGTACTATTGTACTACTCCCTGGTTTGAAGGAGGGGGCTAATCTTCTCGCAGAAAAGGGGGAAAAGGGGAGAAAAAGGGGGAAAAAGAGGGGGAAAAGAAGAGCGGGAAATTGAAAAAGAGGGGGTAAAGAATGTTTGACTTGTGCCAGTTGAGGAACAGTACCTGGTGCCGGTAGTACAGTCAGTGCTGGCTGAACTTTTCCAAGAAGATTATTCAGTGGAAGACTGAAGTGAAGGCTTTTAGTTTTACTTGTGTGAAGTTGTGATTGACTTCTTCAAAGTCTTTCTCTTCCTAAAACGTAAAAAATTCTGTACTGCAGTTTAGGCACAGAGTAATCAGTTGACTTGCTGTGTAATAGTATTAGTATCACTGGGTTTTGTGAGAGCAGGACCTCCATACGTGAACTTTTTATCATGGCTGCAATTATTTTGCGGTGTCCGGCCGCCGATCTGCTAGTGCTACCCCAGACTCAGCACCTGTGTGAATGAAGCAACGGCTGCATGACGTGACGGTGTCTCTTTTCACGTGGGAATTGCTGATCTGAGTGATCTCCGACCCCGAACAATCTTTGTGGCGTGTAGATCTACTACTACATGTACTAGTCAGAATAAGGTACTTCTACTTCTGGGGTACAGTCATGTACATGTATGATGTATGGTCCAGAGTGCATGGCCGTTTGAGCCGTCGACTCTTTCTTACTGCTCAAGCCGTCAAGGACTACTATAATAATTATTAATTTTGCTTATCAATCGCCAGTGTCAGCAGTTTTCAAGCAAAAGACACAAGTCCTGTAAAGGTAAGATATCAGGAGGAAACTCTGTGTAAATGATGAAATAAATTATTCAAATAATTGATGCCAGCTAGACTCCACATCTCCAGTCAGCCCCAGTACATACATAGTATAATGTAGAGGCGACGGTTTCAAATAGGAAATACGTTGCAAACCGGAGCGGACTCAGTATTCACTTTCTCTCTTGGTATTTTGATTAGAAAACATTGTCATGGTGGGACTACGATGTGTTTTACTCCGAGCCAAAATTCCATGGTTCTGCGATGAGCAGAAGCGCCATACCAAGCAAGTGAGTTTTTGACGTGTTGCTTCGCACTGCGACTTGAGTTTTACGTCTTTTGAAAAATCAACTTCTTGTGGCGGGTAAACAGCGGTTCGCCTCTCGCCAATAAAGCACCTTATACCAATGAAAACTAATGGAAGCACACACAAGGCTTATTGTTACTCTGTACTGGCCGTCATGGAGCGATAGCAATTACCTAATTTCAGAACTCAGAGTGAATTTGACGTGCACTCTAAAACCTTTCCGGTTTGGAGCCACCTCTGATTTGAAGCGAAAAATTGGGCAACTTGGAGGCAATGGGCCAACACAAAGGAGTGGCTCAGTTCTCTGCCTCAGAGCAAACTTCAACATGCCAGTTTCCTTTCACAAACATACATGTATTTCGAGTGAACAATCCACGCTGATGATCGGTTTGGGTCAATACAAATTTGGCTGTCGAGCTGTTCCGGTATTGAACCGTCCCCGGCCTCTACCGTGTTGCAGTTTCCTGCAATGTCTACAGCACGGTCCATTCAGAAAAAGATGGATTTCTAGCTTTGGGCCATAAATGGGTCAAACGTTGAGTTTTTTAAGAATTTTTTTCTGCAATCCCCTATGGAATCCTCTTCCAATATATTATTATGTTTCTGAAGTCTACTAGTATTTCTCCAAAAAGCAGGCCGTAACAAGAATAGAATTTCGGCCAGGTTTTGCCCCAAGAGCACTGAATTGGGAAAAACCATCAAAATCCAGGCCGTTTGACCCTGCCTGCAACAGTGCATTGTGCGGTTCGAACCCCAGTTCAGGTGCCCTTTTTGGACCCTTTTTCAAAATTCAAATTTCGCAGCACTGCACTGTGTACGATAACATCTTGAAAATTCGCCAAATACGGGAGCTCGCCAGAGCCAGGGCCCGTCTTTTTCTGAATGGACTGTAGTAATGTGTCATTGAAAGCTCAGTCAGCGCAGATGTGAAGATGAATACTGAATGCAGCCCAGTGTCATTGCTGCATCCGTAAACTTGAAGGTGACTCTGTGGCATCTCTGTGACATCATCCTGCAGCATACTGTACATGCAGGGACGTCGGAAGGTATTTTAGTGTGGTACGGTCAGCCATCTGAAGTACAATTTACTCATGGGGGAGTGGTGGCTGAGCCGAAAATTTTGGGATTTTAGATCCCAGATCAGTGTATTTTGTTGATTCACGGGGTAACTGGGGCCAAAAGTGGTACGGTCAATACCGTAGTGACCGTACCGTGTGCGACGCCCCTGACATGTATAACTATAATTAATATAATTATACCGTATGTCAGCGCCATGCCCTTATATTCGAAGCACCGCTGCTTTCCTTGATATATTAGATGCAAAATGACTCATCCACTACGCCATGCCATAAAAGTCAAAGTCCACACAGAAATGTCAATATAAATCCACTTGTTCACCTTTCCTGCTGGGCTGTATTTTTGTTGGCCTAGTACTTACCGTATTTTACCGGTTGTAAGTCGACCCCAGTTATAGGTCGACCCCATATCCGGAGGTCTTAATTCTGCGTTGTAAAGCTTTCACCCAACGAAGCACTACTAACCACTCCCTTCTACTAACACAACAACAAATCATGTAAACATTCCTTAGTGGAGGGACAGTCAGGGTATATTCTAGGACGAATTTCCAACCGGTTACGGTCCAATGAAGAGTCGGGGGGTCCCCCGGATTTTTTTCAAAATACAACCCAAATATGACACTCGACACACAAACCGTACAAACTCGTGACCCTAGTACCAGCCCACGCGGCTTCGCTGGAAGTATCCGTCCAGAAAAAAAGCTTTTGACCATTCACAGCTCCATTCACCCACAGAAAAGTACGGGCGGTTGGAACTGATTTGTAACTTTTCAACCGGTCGCCAACAATTTCAACCGGTCGAAAACCGGTTGGGGCGGTTCTAGAAAATTCCCTGAGGGTATAACGTCCCAATCCTTGAAAAAGGCCAATAAACTGGCAAAAATGTGTACAGATGGTGCACTCGATCGTGCATGCAGTGCAGGTCGTTTTTTGTAAGATACTGATAGTTCCCGGTTATAAGTCAATCCTTGAAAAAGGCCAATAAACTGGCAAAAATGTGTACAGATGGTGCACTCGATCGTGCATGCAGTGCAGGTCGTTTTTTGTAAGATACTGATAGTTCCCGGTTATAAGTCGAATCCCGGTTGTAAGTCGACCCCACCCTTTCTCCTTCTATTTTTAGTCATAAAAGGTCGACTTACATCCGAAAAAATACGGTATTCCTTCATTTTTGCAAAAGGTACTTCAAACCTCATTTCATTTCTGAAGCCCATGGCTTTATAACTGAGACCAAGAGTACATAACCCCCCCCCCCCCCCCCCCCCCAGAGTGTGCAACGCCTGATCCAGCTCTGCATAGGCCATAGGCCTTGGTCGAGCGGAATCGGCTCTTTGCGTCATAATACCGTACACATCTGAGGGGAACCCGGGGAGTCGCGGGTACTCTTGGATCAAAAACAATGGTGCCCTGCCTCGAGACCGGCCTTTCGCTGGTGTGAAGTGTACGCATGACATCAGAAGATCCGATTCCGCTCGACCAAGACCCTACACAGAGCTGGATCGGCGTTGCACACTCTGGGGGGTTATGTACTCTTGCTGAGACTGGCTTTATAATCGAATATACCGCCATGGCTTTTAAGGTGCGGACATACGGTACGTTATTTTCGGTGTATTATAAAGTAAGTTAAATTGAAGAAGAGGTTGGTGCGACTTCGGCGATACTTGGGGACTTGTGTGTTGCTCCCTACATGTACGTGGGAGTTGGCAAACTTCCTGCCGACTTGAATTGTCACTTGACTGACTCACGACTGCCATCCGGAGATGTCCATCGAACCTTTCACTTGGCAAACCTGCAAGAAAGCACCACTCCCTACTCAATACACAGTGTTTCGGGGAATTCACCCCTCATCAGTTGAGCTTGAGTAGGCTGAGGAAGATTGTGCCTGAGGAGCACCGCTTATATAGTGCTCTCCAGGCACAAACATCACCAGGGATACAAACTTACAGAGACACTCCGTTTCCAGTACGACAAACAGCTCGTGAACATCAGATAGCAGCGTGAGTAAGTGTCGCTCATGGAGGTGCTGAACAAACGCTGAGGACCGTTGGCCATTCACAAAGAAGCTAGGTGTCAGGACGTCGAATGTCTCAGTACTGTGTCAGTTTTGTGCCTAGTTGTTGCACTTTCTGACTGTATATAGTATCTAGTTAAAGTGGTGGAGAGTTACTCTCAACTCGTTTCCATATGTTCTTTTCCTTTCTACCAAGAGTCCATAACCCCCCGGGGGGTTATGGACTCTTGTTTCTACTTTTATTATTGGCTCAATACCCGAGTTTCAAATTTACAATAATAATAATAATAATAAAACGTAGCCTGTAAAATGTAAAGCAACCAACTATTACTTCTTTGTGACGTGTAAACTAGCGCAACCTATTC